TTTTTTTTTTTTTTTTTTTAAGGGGGAGGAAAAGGGTAAATTTTGGTTGGGAAAAGGAGAAAAATTTGGAAGGTAGGGGGGTTTTTTTGGCCTGGGGAGGGGGGGTTTGGGTTTTTGGAAAATTGGGAGGGTGCGGTTGAAGGGATCCCCTTGTGGGGGGGGGGAAAACAGGGGAAAAAAGGTATTTTCAGGGTTGAGGAGTGAAAGTGGGTTTTTCCAAGGGGTTTAAGGGAAAAAATTTTGGTTTTTGGGGGGGTTTTTTTTTTTTTGGGGGTTTGGGAAGAGGGGGGAAACCCCCCCCCCCCCCCCCTTGGATGTAGTTAGGGAAAAGGGGGATTTGGGGGACCCCTTCCTTTTGGGTTGGGCCCCCCAAAGACAGGGGGGAAAGGGCCGGAAATTGGGGCCTTTGGGGTTTTTTTTTAATTCCACCCCCCCCCCCCCCCCCCCCCCAAGTACCTTGCGAGGTCGTTGAACAGCTCTCTCGACAGGATGTTCAGACCTTGTCTCTGTTTCTCGGTCTCCGCCCCCAATCCGCTCTCCAGATGCCACAGCACCTTTTGAAACGAAAATAGGTATATAGGTACATCGTGCCCTTTTTTGCCAAAACTCCTCCCCGGCTAACGACCCTGACGCCCTTTCTCGTCGTTGTCCGTTTGTGTTCGTTGTGTGGGTGTTGTACAGATGTCGCCCACCGGCGAACACGTGGCGGACGTGAGCGACGTCTTGACCGTGGGTCAGGTTGTCGACGTGCGCATCCGTGAGGTACGTGGCTCAAGTCTCAATAAAGTCTTGGTTCCTTGCTGCGTTGTTGGTGGCAGCTGAAGCAGTTTTGTAGGCCTGTGTCTTGAAACATTCAGCGTACCTGTGCGTGCGCTTGATGTTTGGAATAAGGGTATGTCTTTTTGAAACGATTTTGGCTTGGCCGCTTACCCTGGCGCGCTAAATTCAAGGAAGCAATACGGCCACTCTCGCCTCCCCCGCGACGCCCGCCGTCTTGTCCACGACACCGAATATTGTTCCGTCGTGTCTCAGTGAGATGGCGGCGCTTCTCTAGACGAGGCGTTATCAGTACTCTCATCGTCATGGAGCGCATGTTTATCGAACTGCGCATTGCACCCGTCACCTCTGTCGTTGCTGAACCCCCCCCCTCCCCCCCCTTGACTGCCACCGCGGTGCCCCGCCACCCTTGCATGCCAGGTGGACGAGAAGCTCGGGCGCATCAACATGAGCCTTCTCCCGTACGGCCAGGGCGAAGCCCCCCGGTCGGCGCCGGTGGCCGCCACCAAGGACGTGTCCCACCTCGCCGGCTCCGACCCGACCGAGTTCCGCAAGGGCACCGTCTCCGCTGTGGCGGACTACGGGCTTTTCGTCAACATCGAGGGCGTCGACGGCCTGCTGCACGTCTCCAAGATGAGGTACAAAAAAATTCCATGTAATTTTATTTATCTTTCTTCATGTATGTGTGGGCGCGTGGCCTTCGACGGGCACACGGTTTCATTTTGTCACCGAGGGTTGCCGTCTCGTATACTAGGTGCAGCAGTTGAAGAGCGTCGCTGTTGTCCATTTTGGGCTACATTGGGGGTCTTCTCTGTGGCGTGCTGCGCAGAACTCCGATCCCGAGCGTTTAGGATGCCGTATTTGGAATGTTTTCCCTTTCATCGCATCTCGACACTAGTATGAAAATGTGAAGCATGCTTGCTCTAAAATATGGCAGGGTATCTTTTTTTTTTTTGTGCTTGGATACAGTCATCAATGTCTTCCAATTTGTTTTACACATGTGCTTCGCTTATTTATTTATTTTTGCCGTGTCGTTGACGGACCATTCTCTTGCCGTAGCACGGACCGCTCCATCACCTCGGAGAACATCCACTCGCACTACGAAGAGGGCCAGGAGGTCGAGATCCGAATCATGGAAGTCAACACGGCCAACAACAAGATGTCGCTCAGCATGCTCCCCCCCACGGAGGAGGCTGGTGCGTTTCCATGGCCACGTGCATTTGTTTTCTTGTGGTTTGTCGTTAGGCGTGTGTTTCATTCAGGATTTGGATCTTTACTTGCGTTGTGGGTGTGTGGGCTGGTGACCAGTCTCTGCGTGTGCAGGAGTTGGGTGAATCATCTAGATAGTCAGCTTCGGATATCGAGCGGTAAAAATATGCCAAATATGCGGAAACGGAGTTGTGCCTTTGCCACAGTCCTGCTGCCAGTGTGTCAATGAAGCCCATTCTCCCGGATGATGCTGACGTCAAACCAACAAATCCACAAGTCTTTTTTGACAAGTTGAGGAGAAAACACCTTTACGTTTGACGGGAGATTTGGGGGCTTGACAGCTGTGCGAACGAAACTTTTTGATAGACACGGTACACGGGCGGTCTTGGCGTTGAAGTTGAAATACGCGTTGCCGCGGCTACTGTACGCATTCTTGGAAAGTTTTGTATCATACTTATATGAACGAACAAGGTGTATCATACAAACATGAACGAAAAAGGCCTATAGGGCTACTACAGAGAAATTGTAGGGTATTTGATTTTTTCAAGCCCGCAAAGACCCCAACACATCCCGTTCGACTACTGTGGTTATATCTCGAATGGGTAGTCTTTCTGTGTTTGTGTTTATTTTCCCTCATATTTGGGAGCTGTTTTGGTTCTCCGAGGCGACTGACTCCCTCCGCCTAGAACTTGTCTCGTATTGCTTCTTTTGCCCGCTTCCACTTCAGTACGGGGCCCGATTTAAAAGGCGGTTATATTCACCACCCACACCACAGCCTTATATCGCCCCCCCTACTGATTCTTGCGGCGGTCCTCGTTCGTGCTGCCGACACTCGGTCAATCAAACCTCACCAACACCCGCGGCCATTGCGCGTAAACGGCAGACTTCGGCAGGTACACGAACGTCCCCAGCGAGGAGTGGCTGGAGGGTACCGTGGTGTCGATCATGAACTACGGCGCGTTCGTGAGGCTGGACGGCGACGTGGACGGCATGGTGCACATCTCCCAGCTGGACCCCCACGGGGAGAGGGTGGACTCTGTGTACAACTCGGTCGAGGTGGGTGTTTTTTTTTTTTGTAGTGTGGGTGTTTTTATTATTTGCATCGACCGCGGTACCCGGCGGCGGACCAAATGAAAGAGTGTGTGCATGCTTGGGGGATGAGCTGATGGATGTGTGCGTTTGAGGGTTTGTGGCCGCGGCTTTCCGAGGGCGCGCCGTGCGTGTGTCGGTGCAGCTTGTGTTTTCTCGAGGCGTGCGTGTTGTTGCCTCTCTTGGTGTTTCGGCAGCTTATCTTTTTCGCGAAGCAGTAGTTTGGTCAGAGTGAGCTGGTCCTGATGGAAAAGGTAAACGTGTGCATAAGAACGTCACGAGCCCGCGCGATGGCACATACTCATCCTCTCATCTCAACCCATCCCCGTGTTGATATCCTTGTCCTGCAGATCGGCCAGGACGTGAGGGTGCGCATCCTAGAGGCCGACCCGAGCTCCAGGAAGCTTCGCCTCACAATGAGGGAGGAGGGATACGAGGGTGCCACCGGCGGCAACATGGGCGGCGGCGGAGGCGGCGGCAACGACCGCCGCGGCACGAAGAAGGCCAAGTCCGTTGAGCAGTTCCTTAACCTCTCCCCGGAGGAGTGGATCAGCGGCCGCGTGGCGTCCATCACCCACTTCGGCGCGTTCGTTGCCGTTGACGACGACACGGACGGGCTCCTCCACATCTCGCAGATCGCTGAGGACCACGTCAGCAACGTCGAGGACCACCTGCAGATCGGGCAGGAGGTCCAGGTGCGCGTGATCGAGGTCGACGTGGACAACTGCCGGCTCGGGCTGAGCATGCGCGAGCCCCGCCAGAACTCCCCTCGCGGCGCGCGGGGGAAGAAGGACGTGAGCGTCCTGCTCGGCCGGGACCCTGACGAGTTCATCCCCGGGAGGGTCGTGTCGATCGTGCCGTACGGCGCGTTCGTGAACATCGAGGGCAACATCGACGGGCTCGTGCACATCTCCGAGATGGCCATCGGCCGCGTGGACAGCGTGGAGGACGTGTGCGAGGTAAGCGAGAGGACAGCAGGAGGTGTTTGGTGAAAGGCTTGACATTGTAAATTGTCAAAAAGGAACGTCGGTGACTTTTGAGTAGAGCGGGTAAGACAGTTCAGTGCGGCCACCGCCACGGCAGTGTCATGCAAAGGGGTGCTTGTACAACGGTAGCGGCTGTTCTTTTGTGTTTTTCGGGGGCTTGGTTGTACGCCGTCGGTCCACTGGGTGTTGTGTCATTTTCCCTGCCCATTTGAAGTCCTTCTAAATAGGTATTTTTCCTGTCCATTGGAAGTCAGGGAGAACGTTAATTTTCAGTTGCAACTCGATCAACGATCTGTCTCTTCACCGATTTTCTCGGTTTTGTTCATCGTCCTTGTTGGATGTATGCTGCAGATGGGCCAAGAAGTTCAGGTCCGCATCTCGGACATCAACACGGACAACAACACCGTCAACCTTTCCATGGTGCCCGCGGGCGCATACGACGACAGGAGTGGTGGGGGCTACGGTGAGAAACGAGGGGGTAGGATAGGGTTCTGTATATTCGTCGTGGTGCTTTTAACTGTTGTCGAACAAAGTGATGTCCGGTCGAGTTACGTACCTCTCGGGTCAGACGACAAGAATTGGCCAGCTGTGTTTTGTGATGAGGTTGAATTTTTGGCCCCCCGCCATCGATGTTCGGTAGATTGTACCTTTCTCCAGTGGCCGTGCCACGGTGGATTCGCCCCCCCGCCGTTTGACGCCGTGACGTATTATACATAGCACCCAAAGTATTTCGCAAAACTCCGTTCCAGAGAGGGACTAGTGACACAATCGTTCTCGTCTATGTTGAACATCCTCACCCTACCCCCCCATCCCCCCACGCCCCCCAACCCCTTGTCCTAAAAAATTAGGGGGGGAGGACTACAGCTACTCGAACGACTACTCAAACGACTTCAATTTCTAAAAAGGAAGACAAGACCCCCCCCCCGAACGAAGTGATGATGACTCACTCCGTAAAGTAGGTCTACCCCCCAAAACAACACCCGTGCGTGCTGCGCGGAAAATTACTAACGAAGTCCCCGCCGAACCGGCATGTCTTCTTCCGCGCTGCCGTGCGACAAAAAAAACGTTACAAAACGTGACGACGACGACGGTGCCCACCCTCCTGTGCAGGCGATGAGGGTTTCGGGGCAGAAGGCGGTAGGCGGGGGCGCGGGGGGGGCAGGGGACGCGGGGGGATGGACTCCGCCGCGTTCGGGCGCGAAGACTTCGCCGACACGACCCAGGGGGGCGAGGGCGGCGGCGGGGCAGACTGGCAGCAGTTCCTCAACAATTACTTCGACGACAAGGAGTAGAGCTTCTTTGGTGCTTGCTTGCCGGTGGATGAGTGGGGGTTTGATAGGTTGGACGTACTGCTGTTCCGGTCTTGGGTTGCTTTGGTTGAAGACGCTGCTGCTGCTGCTGCTGCTGCTGCTGCTGCTGCGATCGTCGTTGTCGTCGCCGCCTTGGGGGTTTGAGCGGTGACTAGAGGGCGGAAGTTATTGCTTTCGGGACACCCCTCGTTGACCACTTTAAAGGGAAGATCTTGTTCGTGAGAGAGAAGAATCCCTGGTTGATTGCTGAAGCTATAATCGATTTTGTCCGGGATGGTGGTCTCTACCCGTTTAGGGGGAACTTTGGTTGTCTCGTTAACCAAGTAGCTTGCTTCGCTCGAGATTCTTTTTGCTGTCTTGCTTTGGAGTTGAACCAGTTGGTGCGGTGCAAGAGGGCGGCGGAGTAGGGTATGGATCAGCGCAGCGCTTGTTAGCTAGCACCCAAGCACGACATGGTAAATTTTAGTATCGTTTGTTGTTTTAGGTAAAGTGGGGGGGTGGGAGCTTGTTTCTCGTGATTTCTACCAGACAGACAGACAGATATGAAAGAGAGAACGATGGGGGGAGCTAGGGTTGGTTTTGTTTCTGGAGTGTACGGCGGGGTGATATTTCGGTGTTCGCGATAAGGCCGGGTGTGTCACGATGGTACCCACCGCGCCTACAATAGAGAAAAAGAAGGTTTAGGGCGTGTGACTGACTGGCGTTCGCCGGAGGACGTGTTGGTCTCTCACGGCCATGCATGCAGTCCCTACCTACACTCGGCTCCGCGTGTCGGTTCGGGGTAATAGCCGGGTAGTCAAACAGGCTTGGTTGCATGACGCAGTTACCCCGGGATTTGTTCCATGTGGGGTCGTTTTTTTTTAGGTCACACATAGGTTTGATTGTAACGCCGCTGAATTTCTTTGTTCGGCACCATTTATCTTGAAAACGACACGTGGAGGCGTTGGGCGGGAGGGGGTGCTCGGCGTTTGGGAACTCGTCTGGGAAAGAGGTGCATGCTCTCCTTTTGTTTCGTTTTAAACAGGAAGAAACAGGGGGGAACTCTCTATCAAATGAAAAAGAAGAAAAACGAATCCACGAAGAGGATCGAACGCAAAATATCAGGCGACAGACGTGATGATGCTACAGCAACAGCAGGCGCGAATGATGCATCTCATGGAGTAAGGAACAGAGCCAACACTTTTTTCGAAAATCTATGTTGTGACTGCGAGAGAACGTCTGGCCGATATCAAATGCATCCCGGTAGGTGGCCAAATCCTCCTGCTGCCGATGCGAATCCACTCCTTTATTCGGGGAGCAGGGTAGTATGTCGCCAGACATAAGCAGATTAGACGTCAACAGAGCGGATGGGGAGGAGCTTTGTTTCGTGTCTACCGCCCTACATACATGGACGATCCTGCGTCTCGAAGCGACTCCGCGTACTGTTTCTTACACCTACTCCTGCTGCGGAAGTCCGTTGTCAATTAGAAGCCTCTGGTTCTGAAGCGTGTGGGACTGCATCATGAGACCGCGACATGCGCGCTACCCACAGCCAACCCCCACTTGTCCATCTAGGTCGGCCAAACCCGCGCCCGCCTGGGACCGTTGTTCGTTGTTGTTGTCGCTTGAGACGCAGAAGGGGTACATACGCGAAGCAGTCCTAACGACCATTCATTGAACTACTGCATGCACCTCTTGTAAGATTAGAGCCATGATTTCGCGCACTGCATCATGTGTAACTATACCACCAGCGGAAAGAGGACAACGCGAAGAACTTTCGAGTTCGCGACTAACCACTGGGTAGAGGCAGCAGTCATGTGTCTGGCTGTTGTGTGCGTACCATCAACTCAAGATTTCACACAACTAATTTCGTCTCTATTTGTAGGTAGAAGCTGACTGAGGCTGCTGCTGCCGCGTGCTAAATAAAGCACACACAAAACGCGAGGATAAAACCAACACGTTGAGTTGCACGCATGCATCCGATGTCACAGATGCCTCCCGCCTCATCAACACCACGAGAGCTATGGCTGATCAACAGATCGCCATCGACAAAAACATTTGTGGCACGCAGTTCGCACCTATCAATCCCATTCTTGGTATTAACTGCGCTGATTCCTTGCGATATCTTCCCTTTAGCTCGAATATATTTTTTAAGAGTCGCGTGGATTCCTTGCGACATCCTCCCTTCATCAAAATACTTTCCAAACCTCCGAAGAGAGAAGAGATCAAGCAACCCGCGCCTATCCACGTGTGTAATGTTCGCACCCTTTCATCTTCGTTTTCAAAACCCTTCATTCATCTTGGGAGATAAATACAAGTCTACAGTATGTACGTCCTCCTTGGCTCAACGAGCAATCCCGTGGCTCAAAGAAACAAATCTTGGGGGATCAGAGGCTAATTTACCGAACTGCTATCTGTAAGGCGTGAGTCAATGGAAACAAAGAGATTACTCTGTACGTGACCCTTGCAAAAACGAAAAGGTCTGATCCACCCAACCTCGGAGGACAACTAATCGGCCCAAGTAAGCGTCCTACATACACCTCATCACTCGTCCAAGAACAAAACAAAAATTTCGGAACAAGCTCTTCCACTTTGTACGCCACATAACACGCGCACACCGCGACACAACACAACACCCGACAAAATCACCATACAATGGCCACCGAAAACACACACGACCCAAAGCAGCCTCAACAGCAAGGGACAACCAGTTCCTTCCCTCGATTCTAGCCGCTTCAAGTTCACTCCATACGCCTACATCATCTCACCGCCATACACCAAATAAACACACACACCACCACCCGCTACTAAATGCTCTGCGCGTCCACGATCTCGTACGCCGGGCCGTCCATGCCGTCTTCTTCCATCGGGCTCGCCGACACGCTGCTGTCAGCTGATAGGCCGACTCTCGCCTCCCACTCCAGGTCCGCGATTCGCTCCTCTTGCTCCGCGCTGACCCTACCCTGAGGTTAGGTTTGACCCGTTTTAAGGGGTCCGGGTTTTCACCACGTGGGTTGCGGCGCGGAGGGGGGGGGGGGGGCCCCCAAGGAAAAGGCAAGCGAAATTTGGGGCGAAAGTGACACAACCATCCGCCCATTCCTGCACTGCCGCCAATTGGGCTTCACGTTAACCAGTCCAAACACACAAACAGGGAAAAGGGGCCCAGGCATGAGCAAAAGCAAATAAACCTTCAACCCAAGCCAACATGAATAGCTCACCCGCGAGCCCTCCGGATCAAACAAGCCGTCCTGGTGTGTGCCATCTCCCCCCGTCAGCAGCGCCTCCTCCTCCACTTCTCCATCGCCGGCATTTGCAGCTACCTTGGCCGCTACATCGGCGGCACTATTACCACCAGCACTACCAGCATCACCGTCATCGTTATCGCTATCCTCCTCGTCGTCGCCATCGAAGTCATCGTCCTCGTAGTAGTCCTCGTTCCACTCGTCAACGCCGCTCGCCACGCCCCCGTCCACGCTGCTGCTGGCGGCGCGCAATACGCAAGTCGAACTATATTAGTAGCTTCTGAAGACATACATAGATTATTGAAGATCCATGCCTCGGCGAAACTTCGAGCTGTTGATGAGGGGGGCGGGGGGTTGGTGCGTCAATACCATCCCTAGAACGGAATTAAGACGTCAGGATCGGAAATCAATTTGCTCTGGAGATTCGTGTGGCAAGAGGAAACAACGCGACTTCGAACAAACCGCGAGCAAGAGAACCAGGTAGGCAGGCACACAGGCAGGCGGTGCCGTGCCGGAAATCCAAACACTTTTCCCGCGTTTCCAGCAAGACTCTCTGTGTTCGGGCGTTCATCCCGCCAGCATTTTCTATTTCCCGTAGTTCCTTCGTACCTCCTAGGCTCCTTCTCGACGCCGACGCCGTTGTCGCTCGAACCACCAAAACCGGCCAGGCTGTCTCCATTGCCATTTCTCAACGCACCGTCGCCGCCGCCGCCGCCGCCGTACGGGCTGTCGTTGGCACCAGCGTGCCTAGAAAATCTATCGCCTTCCTCTCGGCGATGCCCGTCGTCCTCCTCGCCTTCGTACGAGCGGTCGTACACCCCTGCTTGTTCCACTATTGCCGTGTTCTCGGTCGTCACGCCCCCCCCCGCCGCTGCCACCGCCGCCGAGATCGATTCGCCGTCGCCCCCGTCCCCGTCCACGCCAGAGGCGGCGGCTGCTACGATCGGATCCTCACCGCCCCCCCTGACAGACTCAACGTTCTCCGAGAAGTCGTAAGAGTCCTCGTCCATTCTCCCGTCAAAGTGGTGCTCCCACCTGCCCTGTCCCCCCCCGTTGTCTTCCCCGCCGTCCTTGTCATCGGCAGCTGTAGGTTGTTTGCGTAGTAGCAGCCCGCCAAACCGGCTCTCCTCGGCGTCGCCGTCGCTCTCCCGTTCCCGGCTCTGCCGGTCGCCTTCTCTTACTCCTGCCGTCGCCGACGATATTGGTTCAGACGAAACGCTCGAGGCCGGTTCGTTGGCGTCTTCTCCTCCGCTGCCGTTGCCCATGCCGCAAACGCTGGTGCCATTGGTTCCACCGTGGTCTCCTGATGGCGGGAGATGGAAGAGGGCGACGTGTTTTTCATGTATTTCTCGAGAGAGCGAACACGAAACGGGACAGGACATGACCACGGGATTCTCCACGTTTCGACGTTGCGGAAACCGCTATAACTCTTCCATCCTAAAAGAAGCGCTATGTACCGATTCGAGCCACACTTGGGCATTCCAACCAAGTAAGGCAATGCGGACAGTACAGCAGCATCAGCGACAATATCAACATTGGTATCAACATCACGTCGACATCAACCACCACGAGCCGCATCTTGCTAACCTCTTCGTTTCCTCAGCGTGACCCTTGGCGGCACGCCATCCCCTTCCACGCCCACTCCTCTCCACGTGGTGCTCCGCCGTCCGCCGTCTTCCCCTTCTTCTTCTTCCGCTTCCTGCCTGCCCTCTTCCCCCTCCCAGCCCTTGTGCTCGCCGATTAATCTCTCGCTCCGGTCGCCGGCGGTGGCGGTGGCGGTGGCGGCGGCCCCTAGAGGAAACTCATTTTCTTTGTCCCGAGGTGCTGCCCGACACGCCGCTAGCAGCTTTTCTCAAGCGTGGGGGGGGGGTGTCAAGACAGATTGGATCCATACACGACAGACGGGCACGAAAGCGGATCAGAGTTGCTTGTCGCAGAGGGATTACAGAAAGAGGCGGTGCTTCGGGGGCGGGGGTTGTCGAGCACAACGCGCACGTCAAGCACCGCGTGGGTGGCTGTAGGTGGGACACTACTGGTGTACCACTCTGGGCTTGCTCGTCTATCTGCAGCTTGTACATGGCGTGTTGTTCACGCCCATCGGGCAAGGGTCCTTACCGAGAGGCGAATCAGGAGTTGACGAAACAACCGAAAGCACTTGGGGCGATAAATCGCGAACAACCGATACCTCCTCTAGTCTCAGGGGCAAAGGACAGGTTGAGCAAGCATTCATGCCGCTCTAGTTTGTTCCGTGGGGATGTACTTTGTCGGGGCTGTATATTGTATTGATCGCCGGTTGGCATTGACAATACACACCACGACACAGAAGCCCAAGCAGTTGTATCGCGTTGCATATGTCACACCTGGAGCATCACCGGCGAGGTTTTTCCCTCAGGCGTCTTCATCTCGCCCTTTCCCACCACGGCACCATTCGCCACGATAGACCCGAGCTCCTCTGTCGACAAGAGGTCCTCTGTCGCCATGTCTGTCTCCAGCTTGAGGACGGAAAGGGTCTGGTGCAGCTCCCAGTGCTCCAAAAAGTCGGCCACGACTTGCAGCGACAGGCGGCCTGCACACATACGTACGTGTATTTGGCGGCAGTTCGGCGCGCGTGTTTTGACACAACAACGGGCGAACAAACGAAAATTCCATAAAAAAGAAAAAACGATTTTTCGTTGAGGGGCGTGTTTGCTGGATATTATCTAGCCCGGTCACAGGTGAGAAAACTCTTGTACAGGCGGGACTCTGTCAATAGTTTAACTATCAAACACACACACACACATGATGAGAATAATGGTAGCAGTGAAAGCATGGAGGATGATAGTCAAAGCACTCCAAAACGAGCTAGAGTGCAAGGCAGCAGCCTTCGTAAACGTGTGCAGTGGTTCTCTGTTGCTACCGTTTCTGTCTTTGATCCGGAGAATAGATTAATCTCCCCCATGCCGCCCCCTCACGGGGTCCCAGAAAATGGTATTTAGGAGTGTTTCGTGTTTTCAACCGCACTAAGACTGACGGCTTTTCATTGGTAAGCCGGTTATAGCGCGGTCGATGCTAACAATACAAAACAACACACACACACACATAGGTACGAAAAGACCCACACCGCAGGCCAATAGCCGAGTCGCGTGTCGCACCCACCGCCCACCACGAAAAGGCGAAAAAAAAATCAATCAAGTAGTTCCACTCCGCCGCAAGATTCGCGGACCGGGCAGCCCGGCAGGTAGCGCTACCGGCTACCGGCAAGTGATGACGACGTTGGGATTCCCCGGCCTTTCGCGTGTCGCATTTAGAATATATTATATTAAACTAAACACCTTGTTTTTTTCAGCAATCATTACCTACCCGCCACGGGCGTGGGACCCGCGGCTTGGAAGGCGTTCGACCATACATACCATTTTGACCGGGAAGTATAGTAACAATTTTTCCCCCCGTCGCCCCCCCCCCCGGTGTTTGCCATCGGGGCTGGGTTTTCGTCGCTTGGCAGCGACGTTGCAATACAAGTCGATCACTTCGTGAGCCCGGCAACCAGGTTACCGTTTTTTTTATTGCCTTTTTTTTTTTTTGCGGCAACCATGAATGGTGGTCGAGTAGATCATGTTGTGCAGGGTCGAGAACCCTCACTCCGCGCAAAGGGGATGATCGCACCACGTTGTGAAAAAATGGCCAAGCACCCTCGAGGCAGCTACACAGTGCTTACAACTGCCTCTGGAAGTGAAAGCACCAGAAAATAAATTAAGTCATACGCAGCTGTCATCCGTACGCAAGGAAGTAAGCACAAGATGCCGAACACCCTTAGCAGAATGCAGCGCACCCTTCATGCGACTCGCCGAATACCTCACGGCGCTTCGCGCTTGGTGATGTGAGCGCCTGGTCCGGTGAGAACCCGGCGTGCTCCGTCCCGGCTTTGTAGGGATGCGAGGTCAATGGTCTAACGACCACGGCATGCACGACTATGAGTATACCCCGCCCCTCCTCTCCCTTGGGTGTGGCGGCCGCAACGAACGGCGGTGCCACATACCATACTCCACTCAAGACACCACACCCCCCTTCAGCCGAGTTCCAAAGCTGGTACGATGCACTGTAGGGGGAGCGCCAACGCCCAAGAGGGTGGGATTAGGCAGGTATCATCGAAAGGCCGTTTCCCAGTTTCAATCAAACTGGGCCCTTTGCAAACTGGCAAAAAGCACCCCCATTTTTCGGCTCCGCCCTTGTCACGCCTCCTCTTCCAGGCTCACCTCCCTCCGCTTCATTTCGAAATCCAAGTCAAATGCGAAAAACATGCTACTATGATAGGACTCGGTCAAAATATCGGACAATGAGGACGCTAGCACTGCTGTTGGCCATTATTGAAACGTGCCTCGCTGCTGGGTCATACAGAGCACCTCTAAACGACGTGTGCTGTACGAAACTTACTCATTTGCGAAGAATGAGGCCGTTTTCTGCCGACATAACGCTGATGAGGAGGTCTGCATTCCGTGACCTTAATGCGTCACCCACCACACAGGACGAGACGACGAGTTCGTTTCTGGTTCGTTCGTACACGAAACGCAACATTTCGTCGATATTGGAACCAAAAACTTATTCAACCATTAACGGTATACTGACTGCTGTTGCTGACTGCAAACCACGCGTACTTATCTCGTTAGCAAACAGCATCAACGCACACACACGTCACTGAGACTGACGTCTTTGCATTGGTCAGCCGGTTAGCGCGGTCGATGCTATTGTAATAATAAACACACACACGGCAAGATGACATACATATATATGTATCCACATGCATGCATAGAGCAGTAGGTCGACTCACACTGGTCGACAGGTGTCCACATACAGCTGTAGGTCAACGCAGATAAGTCGATAGCGTACGATGTTGCGCGAACGACACACCAGACGACATCGTAGTGTAACTTTGGATGACAAGAAGAGGGCCCGAGAAGCAACCAAGAGGGCTCGGGAAAGGCAGAGGTAGCTACGACGGAGCCCATACGGTTGATGCTGTAGATGTTAGACTAGCTTGAACTGTAAACCACACATACTTGAAGCGTTAGGAAGCAGCACGAACGCACCATGTGCCCACATACAAGCTAAGGCAGTGTAGATCAACGCACAAAATAGTCGATAGCGTACGATGTTACGCAAACGACCCACCACCAGGCGAAGACATCATAGTGTAACTATGGATGCCAAGAAGAGAGCCGGGGTCAAAAACAAGAGGGCTCGGGAAAGACAGAGGTAACGTAACCATGATGTGGAGCATGTTTGGACTCGAAGTAACAAAAAAAATGCATTGCAGTCAACATGTAGACAAGACGGAACCAATTGCGAAGTACTATGATACATGTACTCCATCTTCGATTGTTCAGGTTTGAAAGACGGCGAAGTAGCGATGATATGGTACCGGCAGTGCTGCAGGCAGGATTGTTTTCAACAGAGAGATCCCGACAGCGGCGACTGAGACCACAGAAGTTCAAGAAACCAGCAGAGACAGCGTAAATTTGGTGACTCCTCTTCATGCGGAAACTCTCCTGCGAGGACTACAGGATTTTCGTGACCACGTGTTTGCGGGAAGCAGGCGATGAGTGTCAGTTCGAGGTAACGCTTCAGACTGGAGGACGACAGCAGTAGATATAGACTGAACTCCTGGCGTCAACTAGGGGGAGGGGGTAGAACGTGACATAAACAACCTGGAAAATACATACATGCGTTGAGATCTAGCTGAAATAAAACAAGTGCAACCCTATTATGTAATCGACAGGTCTCCCTGTGCCGTGTGCGATACGTTGACTATGGTACGAGAACATCACGTGGTCTCAGCAGGTGAGCTTCCCAACAAAAAACTAACTTTTTAAGGGCGGAGGAAGTTTTTCGCAAGCATGATGTCAACTTTCCGTGGGTATGCAGGCCACACGGCGCGGGAGCTAGATAACGGTTTCGAGTCAGATGAACCGTCGAAGATACATGCATGCGACGAGTGCTACTGCTCGTTGGCGAGGAATATATTTCCTGATGCTGCTTTGGCGAACGGATTTTGGGTCGGTACCTTACCCGATGTACTACAGAGGGGGGAAGTTCGTCGAGCACGCCGCTGCGTACCCGATTCGAACGAAAGGTCGCGTTGTAGCATTGGAACCAAGGCGCGTGAACAACGTTCCTGGGAACGGCGCGAAGAGATCTATGGGAGGAACTTTTGTGTTCTACGCAAACAACTCCAGCTCTGTTGCGAAAGAGTTGCCATTGACGGCCACTGGTCTGCTGGATGTGATCACGGTGATTCCAGCGGGAAAGAAGAAACCGAAACCCTCCGACCTTGGCCGGCTATTGGGCACGCGTAAATCGACGATCAGGGACATAAACGATTAGATGGTCGACAAAGATGGCCAACTTGTCGTCGGTTTTTTCCTGGCGAAATCCCTACGTCTCAGTCGAGAGAATCTCAACTCGTATGGCGAGCATGGAGCCATTCCAGAATATGTGGATTCAATTCTGACGTCGGATGATCCATTGAATGTGCGAGCAAGGTTATCTTCGTCTTACACTCGAGATAGCAACACAGTCGGCACAGAGAAGAACACAATGGGCGACGACAGCTTGTCAGTTCAGCAGCGATGAAGGTTACAGTCAGCAAGATGAAGGTGACCTGAAAGACGGCAAGGCGTGCGTGTGTCCGATGGACCGTTTTAGGACAAAAACCTAAAAAGCCTTGCCTTATCCGGAGGCTATCCCATTGTGCTACATGCCTTGCCTTGCTTGCCCTTGGCCTTTTGCCCATTGCAACAACTACACATAAACATCCCTTCTTTCTTTCCTGTGAAACATCACATATATGTCAACTTTGTCAAGTAGGTTGGGCACGGCCAAACCCCGACAACGTCTACTACACCATCTTTCAATGCCTCTACACTCTATCTACAAGGAGTCCAAGCTTTCAAAGCGGCTGCACACTAATTTGTACATCTAATTTGTACCGTTTTCGATCAAAGAGGCCGTTTGCATCAACAACGTTAAGGGCGCGAGGGGGGATCGCAGGACCTCCTCTAAAATTTCCAGGAAACGCCTGCATATCTCAGTTTTCCAAATTCTAACTCCAGTACGAACAACGATCGCCAATTAACCGTCCGCCGCCGTCGCTTGTGAACAATGTTAGTGTCGGAGATTGTAGCCCTTGTGATCCACTGCAGACTTGCGGTCCGCGATTTTCCGAACGATCCTTCTATCATCGAGATCGGTCTGCAACAAGCAGGAGTTTTGAAGCTGCTGTGCGGTCCGATTTTGAAACGTTTCAAGCACACAGCAACGGCGAATCAGCGCCTATCTATGTGATTGTGTGGGTCCGCGAACTTCAGCGCAGCTCTTCCCTCTCATGTCCTACTCGTCGCCATAGTCGATTTGAATGCCTGCGGTCATGTATGTGTAGGTCTAGCCAGAAGCAATTGTGCTTGAAGCGTTTCAAAATCGGACCGCACAGCAGCTTCAAAAACCCTGCTTGTTGCACACCGATCTCGATGATACATCGAAGGCTCGTTTCGAAAATCGCGGACGGCTAGTCTGCAATGTATCACAAGGGCTACAGTCTCCGACACTAGCATTGTACACAAGCGACGGCGGCGGACGGTTAATTTTCGATCGTAGTGTCGTACTGGAGTTAGACTTCGGAAAACTGAGATATGCTGGCGTTTCCTAGATTTTTCAGAGGAGGTCCTGCGATCCCCCCCCCGCGCCCCTAACTGCCGAGACTTCTTTTTTTACAAAATCGGCCCTACTCCTGTGGTGAGAATGGGTTTCAGTCTAGTTCTCGAGGCGTTATTTTGGACTCAGAGTAACTGTCAGATTTTCTTCTGTTCTGGACCGTCGGTGTGTGTAGGGTACTGACGACTGTGTATACGACAGAACCGACCGGTTAGACCAGCAGATACGACCAAAAGAGGCAGCTGTAGCGTACAGTGATGACCTAGGGCTAGTTCTCAGCAGGAAGTACCGCAAATAGTTGCAAGCGTACCACCATAGGTCCAAGTTGGACCAATCAGAGAGGCAAGATGAGATATTACACGGGTGACGTGTGTCGTTGTATAACGGATGACCTTTGAGGTAGGACCGTCCGGAAGCTTGGCTCCGTTAAGCCTCGCACACCCGATCACTCTTGCTTCGTACCCTCAGTTCGCCGTACAGAACTTGGAACAAGCTTGAGTCAACAAAGAGTCCACAAGAGACGAACTGCTGCGGCAGGGCACACACAAAGCCACGCTTGAACGCAAGTGCAACACACGTCCAAGCTAGAACCTGCAGAACTGCAGAACCAAAGAGGCGGTATCAGTTCGCCTCACACTCCTCCTCCTACTATTATAAGTACAACTTCAGTAATAATAATAATTTCTGGAAGAGAAACAAACTGGGACCGGCCCGCAGAACTCCTCTGCGGGCAACGCTGTCCAACATCGTGTCGGTTGGCATTGCCAACCACACTGGTGTGGAGAAATCGCGCTACAAATCAGACCCAGGGAACATTTCGGCATTTTTTTTTGTGCAATACACACGGCGGTATTTGCAGCTGGGTATTTGTACCTCCAGCACATCCTCGCTGATGTGCAAAAACCACAAACCATACTTTGGTCTGCTCACCAACGGTATCATGCTTCACGGCCAGGGCAGCAGGATTGGGCACGTGCACGCCTGCCGTGCGCTCGTGCTCATCAACCACAGTAAACACAGCGGCCCGCAGCGATGCCTGCATTGATCGACGTTGGTTGTTGTTGAAAAAGATTAGTCTACGAAAGAGGTGAACTGCAGTATGAGCGTGGAGAGTGCAACACGGGACTTCGAGGTTGGCACTACTGTAGGTGTTGTTTACGTCGCAACCCTTGCCTGGGCACCGATCGATTTGGTTTGCTACAAACGTCCGTTCAGTTTCAGTCTCAGATGTTTTTGTGCCGTTGCTTTTATCCACGAGCTTCCACACATCCAGTAGATTTCTTCGACTCTCCTCACCCGGATCTGCGCCAGCACTCCCTTGCCTTCGAGGGCTTTCTTCACAACATCCCGCAGGGCAGCATCGTCCTCCATGATTCGAGGCGCGTTGGGGATGTGAGAAGGAAGATGGGTGTGATGGCGGTGACACTGCTGCAACTTTGTTTCAGAGCGCTGTGGTGGAGAGAGACATCCTGTGTTGTGGTGCGGAGCCCCCATGGCATCGTAGATCTCGGAGATCTTACAAACGAGCTTGACACTTTTACACTTGACCCTTGACACGCTCAAGGCTCACAGCAGCTCTTTCTCTCTCTTTCTGCACCGGCTGCCTGTTTCTCTCTCTGCCTCTGGTTTTGTTCTACTACTTCGCGTACAACTCTGCGTGTTTGTATCGATCAAGTTCTCTGTGCTCTATAATATTGGATGCCGGATCCAACGTGATCCATCACTGGAAGACCTGGGATCATGGGTCAGGTTGGTTCCGTCGCCGTATATTGTAGATGCATAGTAGTTTTGGTAAGTGAGTGTTTTTTTTTATCACCACGCATACTCATACAAGTAGCATCGAAGAGGACTACCAGCCTAAGATTTTCGTCGAGGGTGTGTCGCAGACTTTGTGCTGCTGGAATAACCCTGGGGGAAACAAACGATATCATCAATGGACGTTGTCATGTTCCGTTCCGGATGGTTCTGAGTTCTGAGTACACCCGACACCCGACCGCTGAACCCCGGCTCGTCTACGACGCATGATACATGATAGTCTACTACTGCTGCCTCTCGTACATACTGTTTTGTTCACCATGACTGGCTGACTCTGCGGCCAATTTTTGTACACCGACCGACGGTGAATCATTTTAGTACACGCGTTCCAACGAATGCTACAGTAGACAAGCTCATCATCACCCTCCATCACCAATTGCAGCTGACTCGATCCGTAGGGAAGACAAACATGGATATATATGAAAGGTAACAACAGCAGCTCCGTGTACAGTGAGCGGTATACATATAGTCTACACGTCTACACACAGCAGCCCGTAGTCAACGCCCGTGATCGGCCCAGCTCTCTCTAACGCGGAGCTTTCGTAGCAGCCCCCTCACTCTGACTCTCGTCTGCGCCTGCTGCAAACTATAAACTGAAGGTTCGCCCGTGGGTGCATAGTCCAACCCCCAACTTCTAGACTAGACTAATGGCTTTGCTGCTGCAACTTGTATGACTAGTCTACATCGGATGGGGTAATGAGCCGCGGGGTAGGCAATTCAATCCCTTGCAGTAGTCTATATATCTGCGATTCTGATGTGCAAATGCCCACAGACAGCAGCGTGAATCGTCTGTATCTACTCTGTAGGTGCACCTTACGATATCCAGGTACTACGAACGACGGTAAAATCAAGATGAACACTCCAAGTGTTCCGGTTTGCCAACATGTAGAGGCAACAAACAAGTAGAACCAACCATGAAAAGATGAAACTGGAGGCGAGTTTCGTAGCGATAGTTTTGCTTTCGGAGCAACCACCTGTTCCTCTTAGAAAAATTTACATTTACACAACACTAGGGTGACCCACGCCAAATCAAAATATATGCAATAAGCACAACACACACCAACAGACCATAGTCATCACTCTGTTCGTATAATGTCGAACGTGCCATGCCAGAGTAATCAACATTCGTCAGCAGGATCTACAACACGCACAACCTCCGTCCACGGCCCGGACTCGCCCATTCCCGCCGCATTGCTCGCCGAGACTCGAAATACGTAGTCGCCACCCGTGGCTAGACCTCTGATGACGAGATGCCGAAGGTGAGAGGGAACCGGGCGCGGGAATCTTTCCTTTACCTCTCTTACCACCGTTCCCCCCTCTCGCCCCGGGAGCTGTGGTGCCGGCAAGACCACCACTTCCGGCGGCGGCGGCGGCCGCGGTGGTGACGCAGTCGTTGTCTCCGATGGTTCGTCTGTCTTCGCCTTATGCATGACTGCAGACACCGTTGGCTGATTACAAGGACCGTCTTGTTGATCGTCCCGGCCAATGCCGTTGCCTTTCTTCGCGTCGCCCGACGCGCCTTCCTCCTCCTTCAAAGGTGCTTCTGGAGTGTTAGCACTGAATTTGTCGGCATCCTCGACCTGTTCGTCCCTGCCCCCCCCCCCCCCGACGTTGTTGCCTTCGACCTCTGGTCCTAAGCTCACAACTTCGACCTGATACTGCTCAACTGCAGCCCCGTTCGAAAACGGCTCTTCCCATCGAACGGTGCAAGCTCCGAGCCCCGAGGACGCCGCCCGGGGAGGAAGGCAACGGAAAGCCACGCCAGCGATGCCACCGACACTTTTTGTTGGTGAGGGCGTGGTTGCCGGGGCCGTAGGGGCAGCGACGGCGGTGGTGTTGACAATGTCCTGTGCCAGAACCCAAGACGGAGGTCGCGGGGCAGAGGTGCGCGCCCGACGGCATGGCGGCCCGGGATCGCTAGCGCCCCGGGCGTTAACAGCCGACGCCCGGAACGAGTAGTACGTCCGAGGCTGGAGGCCTTCCACAAGAACCACGATCTCGCAGCACTTCCTCGCCTCTCGAGTTGAGCCTGGAATGCCCCCTGTGTCGCCAAGACCACCTCGCCCTGCTCGTCGGGGCTCAAGAATCCCGCCGGCCTTCCCGTCGCCGCTGCTGCGGTCGCCCCCGTCTCCGCCATCGCGTCCAGTCGGAGCAGCAGAAGTGGACGCAGGAGAAGAGCCATGTTGATTTCCTTTGTCGATGGTGGAAGGGACCGGGTGGCGCTCACAGCGGGACCACTCCGGCGGCTGCGTTCCGCCATGTCGCCGAGTTTCCAAGAGCATGGCAGTGACGGGGTCACCCCCGTCTTCATCGGGAAGGAACAACGACAACCACAGCGACAGCGGCCCCGGCGGCGGATGCGAGATTGAGAGAGCCGGGGCGCGCGGGGGCGAGGGGCGCTCGGTCAGGGTTCGCACCGGCTGGCTTGGCTCGGACCAGGGACCGATGCCCTCGTTGTTGGCCGCCCGCACCTGAAAACGGTAGGTGTGCCCCTTAAGGAGGCCCTCGATCAGGTAGGATCGCTTTATCCTTGGGACGGAGATCTTCTCGTGGTTGCAACGGAGTCGTAACAACGTGGTCATACAGCGGGGGGGAGGGCAAGAGGGAGAGAGAGGAGAAGTGTGGGGGGTGCCGTGATGAGATGTTGAGGAACGGGGGGGGTACCCGAGGTGGGAATGACCGTCACACAGCGAGAAGTATGTTATTTTTCATGGAGGAATGATGGTGGCTCTAGCCTGTTCCAACGTCACCATGCAATGACTGTTCGTGATAGTTGCTGCTGTGTGTGTCGACAGAGTAACGTAGAACAATTTGATTGGACAGTTTGAATTGCGGGACTGTCGGCGTTGCAGATCGATGAGTAGCCACATATTCCCAGAACAGCGAGGAACGTTCTGTGGGAATGTTCTTCGTGGTAGGTGCATTGCCCCGAGTGTGTTCTTTGTGGATAGTGCATCAGCCAGAGGATTCATGGTACGTTGTGAAGTACGTTAGCCCCTGTTTAAGTCTTTGTGTTCCGATATTTTTGTGTTCCGGTACATTGCGTTCTGCTTTTGTGCGTTGATCGAGCGACATGGATGGTGCTGCGGTGCTGCGGTGCTAGCCCCACCCTCGCCCACTCCACTCTGCTACCCTGTCTCTCGACCCAAGGTCTCAACAATACAACATATTTTCCCCAGAACCCATGGAGTTTCCAACAATGACATCAATGTTTCTACCATTTGTTGCCTCCTCCTGCGTTCTGCTGGGGAGATAAGAACGGGTTTTCGCTACGCGGTGCGATCACGACTCTTCCCACACACACACCCGGTAGCGCACCGGCAGATCCGTACGAACTATGAGAGAGGAGGCCCAAGATCAGTACCACTTGCAGATAATGTAGAAATATCTGTCTGCCTCTGCTAGGTGGTGTGGGTATGGCGACATCAGGGGCTTTCTTTCTCTCCAAAAAGCCCTGATTATTATATTCTGTCGCCTGTGGAGGGAATTCTAACCCCTCTGCGTGTTTTGCTCTATCAATCACAATCCCTCCCCCTAACGCCACCAGCGGGGACACAACCGTAGTTTCGGATGACTGAGCCTCCTGATGGTATACGCTACCGTAAGAAAAAGAAAAAAACAGTCGTGCCTCGTTCGTAGCGATACGTCTGTCTGCCTCTCGTTGTCAACGTCGGTATGATGGTAATATCACAGGCCTTACTGATCTGGAGTGTTTCGTGAGCAGTTACCCACCAAATACCGTAAAACATTGCGCGCCTATCCAAATGAGGAACGTACTGATAGGGCCACCAGGCAGTTTCGCTTTTGTTTCACAGAGCAGATTTGCTGCATGGTATGACTCACCTCTTCCGCTTGCCCCCCCCCAACGGGGCGCAAGAAAAATCCTGTGATAGAAGAGCCTCCGTCGTCCCCCTCCGCCCAGGAAATCATGATTGCCGTTAAAAAAATCGAAGACGCCGTTGGGGGCGGACACGCGTGGGGACGAACGGAAGGCGTGCGGGCAGAAAACGTCGGCACCGAGAAAGCACCCTGTCGGAAAACAAACGTATCGTGTGGAGAAAGGGACGGAAGAGAAGCGTGTGATACATTTCATACGCGTTGCGGCCATATTAATAGCATCTCCCCGTTGCCTTCGTGATGTATTATGCGGGAAGGGGGATAAACAGCGAGATCTAGCGTGCGTAATCAAGAGATATTCAAATACGAGTGCTTGGGGTGCTTACAACCCGGGGTCACTTCCCTATTGCGCACAGAGTGTTTGCTCACGAAGGGTAAGAGTGTGTGTGTTTCAACAGAAACAAAAACGGATGGTGCAAGCAGCGACTGACGAAAACGAAAACGAAAACGACTTTGGTTGCCCTGAGAGAGAACAGCTTCAGGCCTTGAACTGGGATGGGTGTAGCAAAAGGGTATAAATGCCTAACCCTTTTTGCTCCCTGGCTACTGCCTTCACACGTCAGTCAAGACAAGCTTCTCATGTGCGGCAGGTTACCACCAACACAACGAGGGATCGGTTTATGCTGTGTAAGTTACGCCCTTGCCCACTCACGTCTAACATAGCGTGGGACAGAGCTCGAAGAGGTCAAACGCTGCGGAAAGTTGAGAATAGGGGCGCATTGATGTACCGTCTCTCGGTGAGAACCTCCGAAAGAATCAATACCTATTTGGTTGACACAAATAGTCCACAGAACAGGTCACAACCTAACGCAAGTGGGCCACCACACATCGGGCGTACCACAACAAATGTCCTAGTATCGAAACCATGAACGCGTGAGTGAGCTACGTGCTCGCAGCATCGTGCTATCATAGGGCAACACCGACCTGTCCTACGCTGCTGATTCCAGCAACCCTGATGTGGTAGTCCATCCCAGGCTGCAGCCCCGTGTAAGTTAGCGACATGAGGTAGTGATGAGCCTTGCGCCGGCGCCGTTGGTGCCTGCGCAACTTGTGGTCGACGCGGCCTATCCTGGTGTTGCGCCTGGCGAAGTTGCTGAGCCTGACGAACGGGGCCTGCCCGCTCTGTCCACTCTCGTCGCCCTCACCTGATGCCATCCTTTCCGGTCCCCCCGCCGTTGTTCTTGCTTGTGCCGTTCCCTCTGCCCCTTGCGTGCCATCTGCTGCAGCTGGTTGGGTTTCAGCGATGTTACCCTTCGCAAAAGAGCCATGCTTGACAATAGCTACACTCCCGCGTTGTCGGTCGTCGCTGCCATCACCTCCTGCTAACATCCCCCCCGCCCCTCCGTCCCCACCCATGTCTTGGGACCCTTCCGCTGCAACTGGTACCATCCCAAAAGTGGCACTACTCCCGTCCAAGCTGCCGAGCTTTACGACACCGACGCTACCACTTTCGGTGCTCCCACTATCCACTACCCCCGCCGATGCCCCGTCTGCGCCCGCCGCCCCGTCGGCTATCTTGGCAAAGCTGCCGAGTCTGACGATGCCGACGCTTCCGCTTTCGGTGCTCCCACTATCCATGACTTCCCCCGATGCCCCGTCTGCCGCCGCGACCCCGTCAGTTGTGTTGGCAAAGCTGCCGAGTCTGACGACGCCCACGCTCCCGCTTTCGGTGCTCCCACTAATCGTTTCCGCAATCCCTTCCCCGTCCACGCACCCTGCCACCTCGGTGGTATTTGCGAAGCTACCAATCTGGATACTGCCGACGCGCCCGCTTTCAGAACTGCCCCGATCCCCCGTCGTCGCCATCGAAGTTACCGACCGCGATCTCGAAATGGAAACGATCGACTGCCTCTGGGTGATCGCGTGCATCCTCTCTTTCCCCTGACAGCATCCAGCAGCAAACAGTATTAAACTATAGAGGTTTCGCGTACAACAAGCGGGAATGCGCAAAAGGGTGAGACAAAACCTGAAACAAACAAAACCCGGGGGACCGTAAAGAACTACGAAAGAGTTTCGCGCATGCCAACTTTTGGCGGGGTTGGTTGGGCAGATGTAGGGCAGGGTGGCAGCCCAATCAAACACACCGCCGAACGTCGATATCGGCATGATCTCGTTGTTGTGGATCGACACGCTTTTCCGTGTAGTACAGAGGACGGAAGAGAAGAAGAAATAACTCCACCGTGGCCTTCCTCCTGCATGATCCTGGCTGGTACGTCCATTCAATGTGCCCAAAGGTGTAAAGACTGAAGTTCACAAAACTGGGATGGCGCTGAGACACACACACATACAGGCGTGAACGCATTTGTGTTTTCAGTGAGGTTGGGGGCAAACCGTTTCAGGTGTTTCCGGCCGCCTGGCACCCAAGTACGCCGTTTCAGTCGCGCTGCCGTACATTGGAACCCCGAATGCTGCTAATGCTGTGCGTGCAGCTGGCTGAAAACCACGAAAAAACGGGCGCACGTGAACGCACACGTGACGCCCCATGCACACCCGAAACGACTATCACGGCGATTATCAACACACTCACTCCGTGATGAAGTCGTACTAAACTACAGTAGTTTTGGTTCGCTTTGCCTTTTGAAATAGTGGGCTGACGGGTGCGCTGAGATGGTGGTTGATATCGGTGTATGGAAATCAAAAGAAGAAGACGAATGAGTTGTGACGTGTTGCGTTATTTGCTTGCCGCTGCTGACTTCAAGAAGTGAAAGTTGTTATCCATACGGTTACGCATGCGTTTATCTTGCACCACTAGAGGGGGGCGTGCATAGAAAGTCCAAGGAGAGTGGTAGGGGATTCGCCCTGTGCACGGGTGCACTTTCTTCTGCATTCGTTGCAACCAAAGTATGCATGGATACTATCGCAATGACGTGTGAAGGGTTGGTGGCGTGGTTATTCATAAGTAGTGACGGCGGACCTTACCCTTAGGGCTGCCGCCCCCGCCATAGCCTCCTTCCACGTGAACTCCTGGGTGTCGCTCTCGTCGAAGTCTAGCCCTCCCCCCTTCGCCTAGCGATGGTGGCGTTTTAGAATGGCACGTGCACGAAACGATGCTGAGCGAAAATTCCCAATGTAGCTGTGTGGGGCAAATGGGTGCATGTACGCAGATGCACTAAAACCTGACGAGTACTTTACATCATTCGGTGCGTGTTCACTTGCCGTCGTGGAGAAGGATTCAGTCGCCCCCCTAGAGCTCAAAGGCACGGAAACTCAATAGGGCAAAGGAAGTGCTCATCGTTCAGCGTAATATTTTCGTCGCACTAATGCCGTCAAGTAATTTCTTGACATCCGCATTTCATGTAGTCAGAAGCGTGTCAAGAATTACCCGAATATATCTGCTAAATTACGATATCCTCCAGTCCTTTGTCAATAATCAAACGAATCATTGCTTGTAGTATTGTCCTGCACACAAATCCACAGTAGTTGCCTCCAAACCGAGCAGCCCTTCCTACCTGCAACACGAAGGTCTGTATCTTCATCTTGGGTAGGGTCGGTCGCGGTGCGAAGAAGCTAATGGCGATGGAATAGGGCGTGACGGCCTCCACGTTCGGTCGCTCCATCGCCAACGGCAGATCCATTTCCGTGTCGACCTGGACACATCGACAAGCGTAGCCACAAAACACGAACACGACCAAATCTATAGTCCGAACAATTTTAGGATACATCGCTACCATGACGAAGTCTATCCAACCAGGTATCGCAATATCTTGCACGTAACAACAACATCAAGACTATTTCCGATGCATTCCCACATATATACGGTTTACGTCAAAAATATATGAATATATGTATGAATTTTCCTTGGTTTCGTGTGTTTACGCGCCATGTCTGTCGCTTCGCTCCACGGCCCCTGTCCCATCCTGTTGACGCCCGCGACGCGGAAGAAGTAGAGCGACCCCGGTAGCAGGCCGGTAACATCGCGCCGAAGTTGGTCCCCGGCGACCTTCGTTCGGTAGCGTTCGGACGTCGAAGTAAAACCAAGAAGAGTATTAATATCAGGGCCGACTCTTTGTCCTGATATTGCCTTCGTTGTCGTTCCTTTCGCGTAGAGGCACAGAGCTTTCCGCTGGCATCCGGCCCAACACTTCTGTCAACGCGTTACCGTGGGTCGCTTGCGTTGTCGATCTATCCCGGTTGGTCACCTCGTCGCACTCGGGTGTGCTTTTCGCAGAATGAACTCAATCAGTGAGTTGCCAAACAACCCTCGTTCTTCTTTCCTTTCTTCTTTCACATTCGCACATGGATTCGTCCAAGAAAACCCAACATACGCCCTGAGACCTGCCCAATGTAATGTAAACCGTGAGAATTCTTGATCGGTAGCCACTTCTATTCTCAATCTAGCGTGATATTGCACAGCCAATTTTGATCAGTGAACGCCGTTTCTCCTGTTCAGTACTTGTACTTGCTTACCGTCAGCTCGTCGTCGAACTTCCCCTTTCGCCCCAACCTCCACGACACCACGTACGCCGTGACCTGCTCGTTGCTCCCCGCCGCCGGCCGCCAGTTGAGCATGACCCAGGTGCGCGTCTTGTGAGTCACGAACGGCTTGGGCGGTGGAGCTGGAACGTTCGGTGTCAGCACCCACTTTCTCACCTGTGTTCGATAGTTTGTTGGAGGATCGGAGGAGGGAGAGGTAAGATTTTGCCCTATACGTGCCTTTCTGTTTCATGATACGTGTGGCGTGGTGTGTTGCGGGCATGTTGAGTGAAGTCGGCGCGTGTTGTGCAGGGATCAAGCTGATCGACAGCAATGCGACCGCTGTTAGTGGGACGTAGTTCGGCGGAAGTTGAATAGCCATCCGTCGTCGCTCGTGACCGTTTGAATGAGGATACGCACGTGAGAGGATCCGACAAATGTATCGGGCACACGGCAAACATCTTGGCGTGTTGGTACACTGCGGAGTAGTGCGACTTAAGCATGCGCGGCTTGGTGAACTTCTGTGTATTCCGGAATTCCACGCGATGATAGATTGATGACCACCAAGCAGATCGGGGGCGGGGGTAGTGGGGGCGAACGAGGCACGAGACAGAAAGTTCATGACATCAAACCATGCATCATGCAGCTTTCTTAGGTAGAAGGAACCCGAAGCAGTGCGCACGCCACAGCATCCCCTTGCTCCCAGTCGAACGGGCTCGTGGGAGAGTACCTATCGCAATAGGCGACTACTATTTTTCGGCAAACCCCTGATGATCGTTACCCGCAAATAGGGCAACTAGTTGCCTTGCACTCATCATTGACGTGCTTTATCGCAATCGCCGACTTTCCGTCCAATGGGCCCTCGTAGCGTAAAACAGTGTCGTAAATTGCATTTGGGGCAAGTCCATCCCTACTTCTATGTCCGCAAGAAAGCTTACAGCGCCTAGATTGCTTTCCAGGGTACACACTCCAAGACGCAGCCACGGCAATACCAAGAATCTTGAATTTTGTGGAGGGGGTCGGGGACAGCGGAGAAAGTCGAAACATGTAATACCCATTAGTCGTAACTCACCGTGCCGTCGCTGCCACAAGATAGTACCGCCTGTCCCCTTGTGTCGGCGAACGCGCACCGCTTGACGTGGTCGGAGTGCCCAAGGAAGCGCCGGACGAAAGGTTCCGCCGCGGCGGTGTTCCAGATCTACAAAAACATATGCAACCACGACATAGGTCGTGAAAACAGGATCAATCGGAGACTACAGCATTTCGGCGCCATTTTGAAACTTCTACCAGGCTACTGTATATAAATCGTAGGGTACATGTGTATGTGCTTTGTTCAAAGTTGATACGTTCGTAGCCACCGGTGACACGCACAGTAACGCGCACAAGACAAACGCCTCCTTTGTCCCTGATATGGTCGCCGGCGCCGGCGCTGCTCCCACCGCGTCCTGGACATATTCTACAACAGACAGCAGCGTAGTGCTTTTCTGGGAAACCCAGAACACACCCGACCCTAAGAGAGTCGCCGACTTACCACCAGCGAACGGTCGGCGGCACACGACACGAGAAACATGCTGTCACCGCTCCACGCCACGTCCCACACCGGCAAACCCTCGTGATGCCCGGTCAGCACGCGCACCTTCATTTGATTCGGTCAAACCCCATATTAACGTATCAGTTGACTGTTTCCCCGGGGTTCGAAGGGAGATGCGGGGATCAATGGAAAACGTTGTCCGGTTCGGGGGAGGGGGCAGAGAGAGTAGTAGAAGTGTGACCAGTGCAAAGGGAAGGAGAAAAATGTCACGCGTGTTCGGTGGGGGAAATCTGGGAGCACCAACTGCCATTGATGAAAGCACAACATAACAATTACCGCGGTGTCGTTTTTGTGTACCGTGTATGCACAAGCTATGCGCAGAATATTTACTCATGGTTCAACCCACGGTGACAGTAGAATCGATTGGGTGTGAAACCAACGGTGCACGCTGCGGAAGCCCACAAACGAAGCATCAACGCACGAACCTCTCCGAGTTCTTAAAATGGTGCTTGCAGAGTACATGGTGAAAAAAAACGCTCGAATATGGTTTCTTTTCTTTGCCTGCTTTCCAGAGGACGGGTCCCATAGTTTGATGGTCCCGTCGCTGGAGGCGGTGGCCAGACGCCGGCCGTCGGGGCTGTAGGACACAACGTTGATGGTGTCTTGATGGCAGATAAGGCCGCCGAACCTGGTCTCCAGCTCTCGTAGGAGGCCACCGTTCTATAACAACAGTAGAAGGACCGTTCCGAGAAAGGGTTGAATATTACCACCAGAGATACAAGGGCAGGAACGAAGAAAGGCAACGGAACACTGTTCTCCGCCAGCGTTCCCTGGACACTCCTTCCTGATCTTCTTCAGTGTTGGTTTTTTGCTCCTCCTCTTCACCCACGAGGACTTACACACGCCGCCACACACGGAGAAACAAGTCGTTGCACAATCCACACCTACCTCACGTGCCACCTCCTTCTCCCAGTCTCCTACAGCAGGAACCTCGACAAGAGATGCGCTTCCCGGGAGGACCCCTGCGTGTAGAGGATGGGCTGGTGTCACGATAAGTGGTCTAGAGGCGGTACTGTACGTGGGTGGTTGCTCTGAGCGGAGCATGAGGAAGCAAGAGTCTAAAAGAAGGGATAGGGGGGGGCATGCCATCGCATCGCGTACGCCAGACGAGGCAGCAGGTCAAAATGTAGTGGCCTTACCAAGCACGAGAGACGTGACCACGAACACACGCTAGCTATGATATGATTAGACAAAACAAGGGATGGTACAAAAAACTACGGTCGCGGATGGCAGGGACAGTAGAAAGACACAGCTTCGTCGCAAGATGTTCTCTATGAACCACGTGGCCTGATACGCACTATCGTCCCAAATACACGCAGGTAGACATATCACCCCTAAGTCCTTCGCTTCCTCCTATCGCATTGCTAAACGGCGGTCGCATGTTCCTTTTTCAGCTTTTCGAAGCGTTGCCTCTATCAGTGTTTCTACAAAGCTGATACGCACCATTATTGGTCGTTCCAGAACTATTCCCGTACGAACTGATTCTCACCTAGGCCTCCCCGACGCCTAGCTAGGTCGACGTCCCCCGGCGGATCGTCCGGCGGCGCTTGTTTCGCGAGACGTTTCTCTCGTTTCAGCCTCTTTTCGCGGCTGGCCGTCCCCTCTAGCTTTGCGTGAAAGACGCTGGGTTCCAGGGGGGGAAGGTTCGTCGTGATCGCTGCAGCAGACGTGTCATCACCGCGAGTCTCTGCCAGCGGTGATAACGGCACGCGCTCGAGATCTCCCTGGTCTTGCTCCTCATCCAGATTTTCCTCCTGCTTAACGATCGTGGCAGCTGTGGTTGTAGTGGTGGTTGTGGTGGCATCGGTGCCACCTCGTGGACCCTCGTTCTTGTTGTCATCGTCGCCTGCTTTGCCGCTCCATGCATCGCCCCCATTCTCGGGTAGGAGCTGCGGCGGAGCCTCCTTGCTCCTCGTCGATGTCGATTCTGGCAATTTTTCTGTTCCTTCGTCTCCTTCTTCTTGATGATTAGCTTCCTTTGTGTCTTTGTTTTCTCCGTTGTCGACGGGGTAGTGGCGAAGGGGAGCCATTCGCGGGTCCGGCGCGGGGAAGGAGGCGGCCAGGTCCGAGGGACTGATCATCGCTTCTCGCCTGGTTTTTTGTTCATCACAAGAATGCGGTTATTGTTGTCGTTGTAGTCGTTGTTGATTGTTGGTTGTTGGTGTGTTTGTGTGCTACAACAGACAGACATGTCTCGCAGTAATTTACACCGACTTCTACGTCCACGCTCAATGAGGAAAGGTGCATGACTCGTATGCAGTGGGACGCGACAAGAAGGCCTGTGAAACGTTTTGGACAATCGTATCATGAGCAGGTCAAAACACCCCCCGCTCCTTCTCTCTCTTTTCCCCTCCTGCGCACCTTCGGGTTCCAACCCTGCGAAGTTGCTGATCCCTTTCTAGCACAGCGTTCACCATTTTACCCGCAGGGTCGACTTTTTTCTTTTTCTCGGCGCGCATCTCTTCTATCAGCGCCGGGGCCGCTCTATCCCCGACGGCCTTTGCAGAACATACATATCACACGTACGAGCGATCAAGTGGAGGCCAGAGAGTATGGGGGGTAGTAGGTTGATGGGAGGGAAGATGGCGGAAGACTTCGCGGTGGGTGAACAGCTAAGGACAGCGGTACACGCCGTTGCTTCGCTCGCACTAGCTGCTAAACCGACAGGCAGATACAGTGGAGAACGGATGGGAAAGGTCAGCTTGAGAAAATTTTAAAACTGAGGGCGGGTGTCTGAGTTGTTCCAACCTAGATTTGGGACAAACACAGAAAGGACAGAAGCAACGGTGGAAACATCGAACTTGTTGCCATCGTGCCGGAAGCTCGTGGCGGACTGGGCTCCGATGAGATGGTAAAAAAACGCGACACCACACCACGCTCTTTGTGTATAGGAGCCTTCCGACAGGTTCATTACGAATGTCCCGACGTCCTCATGCGCAAATTATTGATATGTTTCTTGTCTTTGAGGCTTTGTTTTGTCGTTGTTGATTGAAAGCAAAGAGGACAATGCACGTTTTGCTTTGAATGGTTGTTCTGCTTTTGCTGGTTGGGTTACGGGTTCACTGGTGTTCGAGGCATTGGCCATTATTATAGGAGCGAAACTCACGATGGCCTCTCCCAAGGTCCGCGCAGCGAAGTCCTCGTTCTGGTCGTAGGGGGTGCTTGTCGACGGGTAGAGCTCGGGCAGTTGCATTCGCATCTCTTTGACGTCCGCCCCGAAGAACCCGTCCCATACCAGAACCTTCAGGTCCACCTGAGATTGTCGGGGAAAGGGAGAGGCGGAACAAACCTATGTCGAATACGGGTAGCCATGCTAGCGGTGTGGGGAGGCATAACAACCCATAAACGATGTAGATGGCACACCGTTCGTTCATGAGATAGACGGCGTATCACGTAGTGAGTCTGGAAAAAGCGTACCAGCCACCAAGAAGACGAGATAGAAATGCAACCTGGCAGGCACTCAACCTGAGAGCTGGGGTTGAACATGCACACGAAACGAAACAGCACACCCGGCGCAAGAGAAGCACAACGATCGTGACACATGGATTCAAGAAGCAAAATGGTTCAGCTCACGTCATCGACAAGAAAACATTGTACAAAACGCAAAAATAGGTCGCTTGAACGGGTAAAAACTAAGACAGCAGACAAACGACAGATTGGTGAGACCCATACATGATGCGAGAAAGCACACGCGCCTATGCAGGGGGAAAACCCTCGCTCCCCCTGACACGGTGAGACGTGCGAGGAAGGTGGCGAACTCAATCCAACAGCATCGTCAAGTTCGATCAGATGATTGGATTGGGTGGATCACCAGAAATACTGTTGTTGCTGGTGGTGTGCTGCTGCCTCTCGCTCCCTCGATCCCTCTCACCTTCGGGTCCTTGACGGTTATACCTGCCGCGTCAAGCAGTCCCTTGCTCTGTCCCTTCGCCCTGACCTTGTCTCGTTTCCTCGCTTTCGCCAAAGAGAGAAGCCCCATAGCGTGCCCGAGCTGTTCGCCCACGACGAGAAGCAGGGATGACGAGGGGGGCAGACGAAGAAGGGCGACGTCGTGATGTTTGCGGTGATAATGGTCACGTTTTCGTGTCGGCCGTGATCGAACAACATCGCACTTGGCGTGCCGCAGAGGATGAATCTATTCTGAGGGAAACAGGACGAGACCAGAGGCCCTTAGGGGACAGGAAAGGCGTGCTTGTTGTTGTGCCAGGGGCTCTATGCACCAGAGAGTCAGCAATGCGGAAACCCGAAAGGAAGACGTTATCATCACGGCCTCACGTTGTGCCTAAAAGTCGTGCGACGTGCATGATCGGCACGGTTGTCGGTTTTGAAGCTCATGTTTTCTGTCAGCCTGTCGGTCTCTCTTCAAAACAACGGCGCTGGCCAAAAATATCAAAGCAGTTTGCTCACTTTGCTGGAAATACCCCCCTATTTCCGTTGTCGTTTCTGCGTGCTGTTGTGCTGGAAACGCTGCGAAACACCCGCGCACGTGCATTTTATTGGCCCATGGAATCCTTGCGGAATTACGATAATAGCTCCCGGTCACACAAAAAAGTAGTTGAGTTTTCTGACCGCGCCCTTCATTTGTTGTTCTTCGTCATCACCTACGCGGGTTGCTAGCAATTTCTTTCAATATACCCTGCGGCCTTGGAGAGCTCCGGTCCGGGGTCACACAATGAGGTTCTCGGTGATGCAGATATTCGTTATTAGGCGAGATTTGAGCGAAAAGGATTCTGCCGTCCTTTCCCGACGTGTCCTCAACAACAAATAAGTGCCCTCTACTTCGAGGCGCTGACTGACAACGCTTAGCCGCTGTCGCGTGCTCTAGTTGCACTCTTGTGACGGCGATGAGTTGTTGCCATCTCGTAAATGAAAACGTCTTGTGTCAAGCGTAGAAACAAGTTCAGGGGAGGAAAACGCGAACATCTGTTATCTCACCTCTTTCCAGGAGGCCACTCCTGCCGCCCTGAGGCGGTTCAAGTTTGCCAGCTCGGCGCGTACCTCCTTCTCCACGGAGTCACGAATAGCGGTCGTCTCCTGCATTGAACACCGCCGAAGCCAGTCGATTAGAGGAGGCGAGCACCCAACAAAACAGATTGTCGCTTGCATCCTAATGGCGACGTAGTTGATGTTTATTCCGCAGAAAATACAGAATATGCGCCTCATTTGGTCCACTCAAGAGGCAACACTACCTCATGAAGCAGAAGAACGCGCCGGGAGTAGCCAACACGATCACAAAGGCAAAGCTTCTACACACGTACACGAAAGGGCGCACCTCGTCACAGCTCGACGGATCAGTGGCTGAACCCCCACCCCTGCCCTTGCCCTTTCTCCTGCCCCTCTTCGAACTCCCCAGCGAGAACGCTACGGCCGATTTAGGGCGCCGCCGATCTCGCCGCTGCCTTTGCCGCGGCCGTCCCTTTTCTCTCCCGCTTCCACCGCTCTCCCCGGTATCTCGATCTTCGCCGCCGAGGCGCCCCGTCTTGCGTCCCCGCTCTTTCTTCTTCTTCTGCTGCTGCTGCTGCTGCTGCTGCTGCTGCTGCTGCTCCTTTTCCTTCGACGCTATCCCTCGTGGTTGTCCCTCGCCAGAATCGGGGTTGTTGTTGTCGTTGTCACGTGATGGCTTTGACTTCTCTTTTCCCGTCGCTCCCGCTCGGGCACCGGTGACGACCGTGGCCGCGGCCGTGCCGACGGATCCTGGAGAGCCCGGGGAGGTAACCTCCGGAGTTGTTCCCTTTCCGGAAACAGCCGTGGTTCCCGGAGCAGCCTTGGAGTTGGGGTGCTTCTTGCCGCCGGGCGGCAGGGGGGAGGAATGGGCCGCCGCCGCCGCCGCCGCCTCCTCTGTCTCTTCTGGCGGAGGGTCGGGGGGTTCGTGCGATACGCACACGCTGGTCCAGGCGACGCCGACGGAACGGGCGTTGTGGACGGCGATGTTTCTGCCAAGGACTTTCCGAATCTCGTCTGCCACTAGAGTGACGTAGCGACGGGGACGTTGCACGGTTGGGAGATTTTACAATGCGTCGTTGCAGGGAGAGAGTGTACCTTGGAGGTTGGAAAAAGTGCTAGGCACGGCCAGGACAAGGACGCGCGTCTCAATCATTGTAGTTCATCAGAGACGCAAAGGTGAACGGTATCTTTTGTCATTGTTGTGAAACGGTGTACTCTATCAACGCAACTGTTGGCGTACGCTGCCCCCTTGAACAGGCGTCAGCAGTCAGACGCCGCGGAAGGATATCGTGACGTCGTGAATGTCATTGGTGCTAGCTAATAACGATCTCCACGCCAATCACCACATATCGCTTTCTTGAAATCGTGAAAAAACAAAAGTGCCAACGCGACTCGCACGAAGTGTTTTGCTCTCAGGAAAATGACCCACAGGAATAGAACTATCAGACCTGCCCGCAGCCTCACCCTCGGTCGCGCCAGTGGCCTTGACTTTGCTGAACTGCAACTTGGCCGCGACCGACAGCATCATCGTCGCCTCAGCCCAGTCCCCCGCCTTGAGGGCTTTGGCAAACACCCCCGTTCGCGCCACCGTATCAAATAGACGCTTCCTGGGCTTGAGTCTGGTTGCCGCGAAGATGGCCGCTGGCGGAGTCGGGGGCGGCCGCTCCCGAAGAGTCACCCACACTGTCTCTCGACCCAACACAGACTTGCTTGCGACGATAGTGGGGAACCTGAAAACTGTTGCATTTTGATTTGTGATATTGTTATGATTTGGTATGGCGCGGGGCAAGTACGGTGCGGCTACAGATACCGCGGAATAACGTGGACGGGGGGGGGGGGCTATTGAATGTTTCACGAGCGTTGATCCCTCCAATATCGATGAAACAACGGATGTCACCTTCTGCATTTTGGGTGTTCCTGTGCAGTTGCGGTCGGCAGCGGCGAGGGCGAAAACACTACACTGGGTGGACATACATCACCAAAAGAAAACGTCAACAGCAAACACAACTCGGATCGTTTTCTCAGCAGTTCTATCTATGTATGGACTGCAAACCCCAAACTATTTGAGTAGTCTACCTGTACAGTGGTCGGAGGGGGAGGGGGTCATAGGGGGGGGGGAGTGAGGGGCACTGACCCGCTCTGAAAGTTAGCCAGCCCACGCCGACTCGACTGTTTGCCTTCCACCGGAGCACGACCTCGTTGACCCCCTTGCCCTTGTTGTTAATGTCTTCCCCGGCGGCGATCGACCGGCCGGCGGTGAGCGACATCCCCTCCGGAACGTCTTGGAAGAAGGCTCCGTAGCGACATCCGCCCTTTGCCTGCCCACCGTCGGTGTGTTCAGTTTGGCATTAGACCGGCCGTTTCGTGTGCTACGCCTCGTGACCAGAAGGTTGCGAGGAGCGTGTGTGCGCGAGTTCACCATCGTTGTCTGTATGTGACCTTTACTACCGGATGACCCCGCTTTGCTTCGGACACAGGAACGTTCCGAGAGTTCCGCCCCAACAGACACAGGGGTAGCAGCTGTTGCTCTTGTTCGATTATCTTCCGAACAACAACTCTCACACACATCGCACGCGGCCCCATCAGACGTCATGCATCCGGTACGCATGATGCTCCTTCTCGGAAGAGAGTTGCATGAAGGCTTTGGTCAGAACACAGCCTTGCTTGAGGAGACAAGTGAAAAGGTGTGTGCGAGAAAAATGCCACTTTCTGTGCGCGAGGGGACACACACGCCGCAATGCAGTACGTTTCTCTTCCTTGGACTCAACAATGGACCTCTCACTCGCCTCGAATCCTTCCCACAGCCCTTCTGCGGAGACGCCAGCGACGTATAGGCCGGTGAACTTCTTGAGCGCCCGCGCGCGAAGCACGAGTTTGCACCCCCGGTAGTACTCCTCCGTTCTCGTGTCCTTGCCGGAATCGTTGAGGATCGTGACTGTCAAAGAAAAGCCGTTCGAAACCGCCTGCCAGGAGCGAAAAGGGCAAACCGGCGGGGGGTTGTCTCCGAGTTTGGGCTGGGAACGAGGGGAAGTGTCGTGGATGTTCTTTTTTGGGAGCAGGGTAAGGGCGATGGCGAGGAAGGATTGGGCAGGGATACCGGCGGTGAGATTGGTGGCGTTCCCGTCGAAACCAATTTTTGTGTCAGAGATTGTTGACCCGCACATAAAAGCAGGGAAGCAATCACAACTAGCTCAATCAAAATTACCTGGGTCGGGCAAGGGCTGGCGTCGCATTGGGTCAGGACGGTCTTGGGGATTTTAAGGAGTTCCCTGTACTCCTGCAAGAGGTAGGCAAGATGGCCACAAAAAGTTGAAGAGGCCACGGAAACAAGATGGTGTACACGTGTCAAGCATGTCACATTCTTGCGTCACGGGCGACAAAAGTCACAGTGTTGTTCGTGGCACAGCTCGATGCTGTGTCAGAACGCCCTCGAAAGTTGTGATGCCTGAGCCTTGATGCGGAGAGAGAGAGGAAACAATGAACGAAAGAGAGTGGAGAAAAAGGAGCCCGTGATTTTCTTCGATGGAAACACTGATCGACATAAGCCCATGATTCAGGCGAGCAAACATATGATATTGCCATGCCTCTTCAAAGTCCTATCAAGCTCGACTAAGGCATGTGTGACTAACGGAGCTTGCTGCCTTTGAAAAAGGAGTCAAAGTGAAAACATGCGAGCTTGCCTTTTCCCCTTCGCTCTCGTCGCTGCTCTCTCGGCTCTCCCGATCCTCTTGGCGGCTGAGAAAGAATCCCATTGCCGAGGATTCTGTGTTAGCCCTCACTCGCTTGATCAACCCCGATCGCGTCCACCTCAGGCGCAATCCGAACTGAACCGGATCTCGGTCGTAGAGAGGCATGTCGGCGAACCAAACGCGTATCGCGCGCTCTCCGATATCGCTGCAGCTTACGAGGTAGCGCCCGCTGGGAGAGTAGCAGACCGACGTCACGGGAGACGTGTGCCCCTCGTAGCAGAACACGTTGGTACCCTGCGAGAAGGTGTGCATCATCTATGTTAGCTGGTTGATCTGAGAACGAGGCCCGCCCCAATTTCTTCATAGGGGTTGGCGTTTGGGGACCAACTACTCGATAACTGCCACCGGATGAAATGAAATAGACGTGTCGCACCCAAGAATTTGTCGGCATGGATTCTGGTTAACGGCAACCGCGGATTGCGATCATATTGATTGTGAACGAAAACAGCCTGGGACATGTGTTTATTCTGAATGAAGTATCTTCACCGAATTCAAACACTGGGGTATGACATCAAGAATGAGAGCGGGAGAAAACGACTTACATTGTGTGCATATCCACTGAAACGTGAAGTGAGTACACAGACAGACGCTGTCAACACGGTGGTTGGTTTGATGTCCGTAGTTGAACCCACACGTTGATGGTTGAGAGCACGGGAGTGGAGTTGAACGAGCAGGTAGAGCCGTGGGGTCGTACACGCACGTTGGAGTACTTCCTGTGTGACATAAACCAATCTATTGATGGCACTTCTTCTGCGATAGCTTCCAGCTTCCTTCTTGCAGTTGAGCTTGTCGATGCCATCTGTCATTTCAATCTCTGTAGAACGAACCATTGTATACGGCGTAGGATGGTTTGTGTCTCCTCAGCGGTGCATTAGCCTAAACAGAAACCGAATGCGTCTACTTCCACCCACCCCAGCTGTCGCCGAACACACTCACGTTGAGCACGTTCCACAGCCGAATAGTCCCATCGGCCGAGCACGAGGCAAGACGATCTCCCGAAGGAGCGAACCGGCAGGCAGATACCACGCCCTTGTGACCCTTGAGCGCGAATCTGTTTTGAGAAAATCGAACAGCGCGATAAATCAAACAGCGCGATGTGCAACCACAAACGGGGCGTTGAAATGTGGGCATGGTTTGCCAACATCGCGGTAGCAACGGCGGGTAGCATGCTTGAGAAGGATTTCAATGAACCCTAAGCCAGGCTTGCTGTATCAAAATTCTCTTCGAAGTAAAGCAACACTTTAGTATTCCTCGAACCCCACGGTTGTCTCCTGATTATAGGAGATACCGGAAGGCACGAGTGTGTGTTTCTTGTGTTTCTTGCTACGCCATACGACCATATTGAACCAAGAGGGATACCAATATCGGTCGGGAGAGTCGAGATGTTCTACAGAGTGGTACGAACGGCATGGTTCAAATGGGGAATGTCATAGTCCCTGGTCTGATGCTGTTTCACGTGTTAGCCCAATTTCATTTTTGTAGATAAACTATCGTCACAAACAGTGCAGCCCCACACGGGTTGCCTGCGGCGTCTTTCCGGCAACATGCACCCAATTTGGGTGCTACTCGGTTCGAAACATATCCAATAATCAAGATGATTAAAACCTCTTATCGTCCAAGCTTCTACTTCCCACCGGACCTACCAACCAGCCCACCTACCTAGCGACACGGGGGTTGAAGCTCAGATCCCAGATGCGCACGGTCAAATCCGTCGAAGCAGACGCTAGCACACATGCAAGCCGAACTGGGGCCCCTTCGCTCCCCGGCCCGCCCTCTCCTTCCTCCTGCGCGTCTTCTTGATCCTCGGGAGGCCCGCCGAAGAGAGGGTTGAACTCCACATCCCTTACCGCGGCAGTGTGTCCGACGAGCTCACGAGCACATTCCCAGCCAAGAGCCAAGTCTGCCGCGACCGCTCCGGCCCGCGCGGCCGCCTTTGCTGCTCTCTTTTCGTTTTTGGGGTCCGACAGCTTCCGTGCGAACGCTTCCGTATCCCACAGCCGAACGGTGAGATCGTCCCCGCCTGAGAGTATCCACCGCCCGTTCGAGGACTGCCGCATGGCATGAACCGGGCACGGGTGCGCCGGGAGGACAGTCGCAAGTGCGGAGCTGGCGCGCCACCGGCGGTGGCACACAACGACCCCGTGGTTGAAGGTGAGACCCTCCTCCTCGCAGGCTAGGCGGCGCTCTTCGCTTTCCTTCAGCTTGTTGGCAGCTGCTGCTCTATCCTCCCTCTCCTGTTTGTTGTTGGCATCGATTCTTTTGGCCGTTGTGTTGGAAGGAGTGACGTCACGAGGCGGCGGGATCGTGGGGTGCGCCCCCCGCACTTTGTACCGTCGCTTAGATTCATACGCTGCACTCCGACTATGAAGGGGGCAGGCGGTTCTCTCTTTCAAAGAAAAGGTTGTTGTTGCAGACCGAACAAACTGGCCTTAATGTGAACCGGGAGTAGGGATTGATCTACGATCATCGTACCGCCTTCGAGACGTTTTGGGATGTCTTGGTTCGGGTTTCGGGGGATAGAGTGGGGGGGGCTATAAAGTGCCCCCTGCTGTTGCCTCCCCGCTTTTGTAGCAAGTGCTCGGTCGACACGTGCCGCCTGGACCAGGTGTAACTAAGAACTTACGTGCGGAAGGTAGCACATGGGAGGTCAAATAGAGTACCACACGTAATAGCAGCGTACAGCATTGTGTCGGAGCTGGTACCTAACTATATAACCAAACATGCAGCAGCTGGTACGGGCAAGGGAGGGAGAGTTGTCGTGTTTTTTGTGACTTGGCGCGGGTTCGTGTTGTGCTCTACTAATTTCCCTCCCCAGGCCTCAGAGAAATGTAATCAAGGCAACTCAATAGAGCAACTACTGTTAACAACAACAATGTTATCCCGGATATGCCTTGACGCGTGGGTACACTAACACGGCTTTCGCTAACACGATAGTGAGGTGTGCGTAATGTCCGATGCAAAGTACCAACCAGCAGCACCTGTTCAATCATTCGATTGTGATTCCTCGTATTGAGCTCGTATGCGTCCCAGCTTCGCAGTTCTTCCAAAAGCATTCGCTTGTTCTCCTCGGTTTCCTTGGCAACCTCCAGACTTGCAGCTGCTGCAGCGGCGGCCTTCTGCCTCTCGTACAAGCGCTCCTCTTGTCGCTGTTCGTACCTCTGTTTGATGGCACGTATGTATGTTGTGCACATCAGCATACTTGTGGGTTTTGTGGATGGGCAACGAACAGGGTTCCGGTCACGCTTTGGCCTTTGGCACCCTATGTATTTGAGTCTTTGTAGACGCAATCGAGCGAGTTGTCAAGTTGCAGCTGTAGAGTTCATCTAACTGGGGTATTCCAACGTCCTGCGCTCTAGATTACACGTATAGACTATCATGCTGTAGTCAGGGACATTGCGTGGCCTGCAGCTTTCTAGAAGAAGAGAGACGGACGATGTTGTCCAGGAATACTGCTGATTTCACCTGACCTCTTGGAAACCTCATCATTTCGAGGACGATATTTTTGGAGTGTAGTCTAGGTGTGTATATTGTACATAGGTGACAAATCCCGTACATGTTCTCAGGCACAACACGCAGATCAGTGTGCTTCGTGGTATCATGTTCAGTCAGAAGCATGCACACGGCACTGCAACAGTACTATGTAGTCTACAGTCTACGGCGTAGACTTGCAGTTAGTTCATTTTCACACGCTGTACAACATACCTTTCGGGGATTGAGGGTTGTACCGGGCTTCTTTGCCAACATTTTCTGGGCTTTTAGCTTGCGCTCTTCCATGAGAATTTCTGCATCTGTCTTCGGTGCAAGCGCTTTCATCCTCTCCTCCTCCGAGTCGTACGCCAACGCGCTATTTGGTGGGCCCGCGCCAGTACCCCAACCGCCACGCTCTTCGGGCTTTGTGTTATCGGCTTCCTTTTCCTCCGCCCCAGCCGGTGATGGGCCTCGCTCCCCGGGGTCTTCATTACCAACACCGCTCATGGCGTATGTCTCTCTGTATTTCAACAAGGGAGGGCAAGCCTAGTGGTGTATCTGAGGCTTCGTTGCCGAGGCATGTGCATATTAGCTTGGTAGATCCAGTCCACCACGATACTACGATGATACAGCGATCTACGAAGAACGTGATTGCGACAGGCGATCTACGAAGCGATGTACGAAGCGATCTACGATGTACAGTGCACGTCGGTTTCGAAGACCGGAGATCAGCCCTGAAAGATTCATGACGCGCGTGAGACAAGCCCAAAACTTCGGACGGTTTTCTAAGTCAGCGACCAAGAGAAGAAGGCACGTAGAGTGCAGTAAACGTACAGCCGGTCTACGTACCTGTGGTTTGGTCCCAGATATGCCTAAGACCCATGACGGAGGCGGGAGGGATGCCTCGGACACGGAATGGCTGTTTGATTTTCTCCTCAGCGTCTTCAAATCGCCGTCGTGGGACCTAGCAGTAAGTAACTGCTGTAGATCGTGCTGCGGTACTCAGATACCCACCACCCTCTGCGGAGGCGTGAGGGATATCTGAAGCATGGAATGTTTGCTTGATCTTACAATCGCGGTCGTGGGACCTACAGAGGTATGTTAGCAGAGTGGGGTCAAAGAACCAAAATAATGATGCTCTTTCACCTGCTGCACCCAAGGTCTGTGCTACACACCTGGATGCCGTTCTGAGGCCAACACCAACCCTCCCAACCCGCCTGTGCGCCACGCCAGGTGATGGGTTTCATTGATGAGAATTGCGCTGTCTTTGACACAGAGGAGGAGAACAAACTGTCGTACACAACGCTTCACCGCCAATTCAAGGACTTGGTGAGAGCTCTGACTACTGCTGAAGTCTACAAGCAGTAGGGTCGACGGAGCGTGTGAAGATGTGGTGAATGAACAGCTTCACACTATACGAATCAAGCCGTAAGGTCCTTGACAGAGCCAAATGCAAAATGCACATTCATAAACCTTTTCAGCGAGCCCACACAACTGCTTAGACTCAATGTCGGTGTTGCCAAACACGCAAGAAACCGTAGGTGACGTAAGATATCACACTCCCTGGACAGACGTTCAAAGATCGATTTCTCCACAGCAGAAACAGTACAGGTACCAAAAATGGCGGTGCTAGAGCTGAATGATCGAAAGCTTCCCTAAAACGCCGTTTGTTTATACATCATCTTCATCGTGAATAAATCGAGCGTTGAAAATCGGTCCAGGGGGTGTGGTATCTTGTGTCACCTAAACGGTATAGCCGTGTGAGCTGTGAGCTTCCTTGGGGCATCCTTGCTGTTCAATCCTAGTCAACCCAAAACGATTCACGCATTGCCATCCTGCATGTGCGACCCGCTAGGCTAGGTGATGAATGTGGAGTGGCTTGTTCGTTCGCAGTGCTATTGTGGCAGGGAAAATGTGACGTGTGTGAGCTGCTGTGTTGTGAAATGCCAAGGTCGAGACGCTGTGCGCGAACAGCCTCGCTGAGGTAGGCGTCGCAGTGGGAGACTTTGTCGATGCTCTTGAAGCCTCAAGATTCAGCCAGGACATCAGCACGGCTGTGTACCAACAGCTCTTGGCGCTAGACGATTTCGTTACCTTCAAGAAGCTCATGGTGAGCACACGGTGGTATGCACACGCCATCGATATAAGCTGCCTTGTTAGAAGAAGCCAAAGGAAGGGTCGCGGCTTGCAATCGAGTCGGTCCCAGGTAGTTTTCAGGTACTGTGAAACAGCCGCCTCGCAGCACTCTTCGCTACGCTACTTGTACGCTTGCGTTAGGTCTCGTTGCGACGTACTCTGCTTGCTCATCGGAGTGTGGACACAATGTGGAGGTTAGGCTGCTACTGTAGTCCCGAAAACGTCGGAAATGATGCACTCTATTAGTCTTTTCACGCACGAACACAGCATGAACATATTACAGTTGTATGAAGTCGCGAAAACAAGTCGTTGCGGGGCACGGTGTTGTGATAGGGCACGGCCTTATGTTGACCGAGCGGCGTAGTCTTCATCACCGATTTCATCGCAGGATCAACATAAATTTTCCCATACACGGGGCAATCAAGGTGCGGCTTGCAAGGAAAGAAACTATTCCTGCATAGGAAGGAAACGCTGGGGTGCGACCGTATCATGTAGCGTAACTTCACACGTACGTGTGTATGTGTCGCGGTGTGTTTCAGGTAAAACGAAACGTGGAGTTGGAGCTTGAAGCTGTGCATGCGCTACAGAAACAGGGGGTGCCCATTCAGCACGGCATCGAAGACAGCGGCGTTTCTGGCGATGAGGTAAACACAAAGCCGCATAACGACTCAAACGTTCACGACCTACAGAAAAGTGTCGTCGGTTTCATTGGCCTCCAACCTTGGAAGAAATTCCCTTATCATCATCAGCCACATATGGCCGATGTTCCGCACTAACATCGCCGTATGAATGCCTGTGGTACATACAGTAGCTCCTCTGCTTTGTGTATGCGGACTCGAAGCCGCTCTTCAAAGTAGATGGTGCCACTATAACATTTCTTGTTTTGATCACACACACACCTATGCGCTTCAGCACATTTGATCTCCAGGTGATTCTCGCCGACCCTTTTCTCTCAAGTTCTGAAAGTCTCGAAATATCACGGCTTGCACGCGCAACAAGGGATTCAAGTTTCACGTGGTGCTCCAACAGTCTCAGTTCCCAATACTGCGAACCTTAATCTCCACCATCATGCCGCGTGATGGTCCGTCTTGTGGATCGCAGGAGCTGGCCGGCAACGGCGAAGAAAAATCGATGTCGGCATCGAACGGCGAGTCTAAGCGGGACAAGGCGGCCGCCAGGCCCGGGCGTGGAAGAAGTGCGCTGGATAGGCAACTGCGCAAGGCAATGGATGCCAACCTACAAGAGCTTGAACTCATGCACAAAAGGGTGAACACACGCGAGAACGTTTTGTTATAAATGGGGTGTTAACCCAGCATACGTTTTCATTCATCCAGAGACATGATGCAGGCATGTTCGAATACCGAATCCACAGCTCCACCCTGCGGTTGCCTATCATACAATCTGCTTGTCTTCAACGAATGGGCTTGAACATGTACAAACTAGATGGTGGTCGCCCCTGGTCATCCAATGCGCATCAGCAGCGCCTCTTCGATTGGGACGCCTGCTAGTGGGATACGTTATACCGTGGTGACGGGCCACCTGACTGAATAACCCCAAGAAGCATGAGCAAATCTCTCTAGAAAAGGGCAACCGCAATCACGTCAAGAACGGCTGTACCTGATCACTCGGGGGGAGTTCGAGACCAACGTTCTTCGCGTCACTTCTCTAAGGTTTACTTTTCGTCGTCTCCCCCACGCCCGCCACCCCACACGCGCGGAAACCAACAGGAAGAGGTCGAGCAAGCTGAGCTCGAGCAAGCCATCGCCATGTCACTCGCGCTGGAGGCGAAGAGGAGCGAACAGGCCACCCTCCAAGAGTGCCTCGACGGCGTCGGCGATGTCAGCGGGCCACGGTTCGGGTCGGTCCCCACGGGCTCGCAGGCGAGTCCAAACCGCGGGGGCTTGTTGCATAGCCCACGATATTCTGTGTTTAGGCGGCTGGATGTCAATCCGGTGACAGCCGTGTACGGTGTCGTTCTCGTGTCTTTTGACTCTCGCCCCTTCTGTGTACTCTCAGCAACCTCGTGCCATAGCCCGCGAAAATGAAATGTCCTGACATTGACTACGGTGGCGTATGATATTGAGGTGTTCGTGCACCTACAGCGTGAGACGGTAATTCCACGCGCTCAACTCTAGTAGCGTGCGCTGTCAAAACCCCGGAACGGATCTATCGTGGACCAGACCGGAAAATCGCTTCAGGCTGGCTGCAAGGGCGGGGACGACCCCGATGGCGACGGCGACCGGGCGGGCGGCGGTGGGGTTTCCAGGCGGCGCCAGAGCAAAGAGCGGGACGCTGCGAGAGAGTTGGCTGACGTAGCTGACGACGCACCGGCCGAGGCCAAGCGCGACTTCATCGGAGAAGGGGGAGGAGCGGAGGAGAAACATCGATCGTCGTCGTCGTCCTCGTTGTCGTGTTTGGGCGGCCTGAAGAAAGGGTAGGCACCACAACAAGGCTGATTGCAGGCTCGAGTAGGCTGTGAAGTCGACGACAGAAACGGGACTCGAGCGTCGGTGGTCGGCCGATGAAGGGGTGCCGGATAGCATTGTACCAGCCGGGAAGTCGCGGCGTTCCTACGCTAACCACAGTTTGTGCTGACTCATGGCTAGAATTTGTGATTTGTATCTGTTATATTGGCTCAGAAGGTCGACGTCGCGAGACGCTGCCAATTGCTCTGCTTGGGCTGCGCTAGAAGAAAGGATCTAAAACTGGCTGCTGCGTTTGGAGAAAGCGTTTGGACGTTTGCACGCGACTAGCCGACACAAAAAAAGAAGGTCACCCCCCTCCCTTCGAAAGCGTAACTGGATAATCGTGTTTCCCAGCACCACTCTCACGAACAAACCAAAACCGACCACATCATCAACGAACATGCTACCGGATCCCCAACCCGACTCAACCAACACACATAAAGCGCAACAAACTACTCTGAACGAACCAACGTATGACAGGACCGGCGCCAAGGCCCTGCCCCCTTTGTCGAAGACCCCGGTAGTAGGAGAAATCGTGGCGCCTTTCAGGGGAGGGAGCGGTGAGGGTGTGGAGGGATGCAGCATCAGCAGCAGCACTGCGACCATGATCCGAGATCCCGATGTAGAGTCCGCTGAGCGCAGGCGCGAGGCCCGGGCAGCATCGGAGAAGGCCAGGAAATTTCTGGAGGAGCGCCGGCAGGCGCAGAAGGCCTTAAAGGCGCAGGTCAGTGTTGGCAGCACGGGTTGGCCAGTGTGCGTGGAGAACGATACCCTGTACATACGCAGGTACAATTGCTGGGTGTGTTTGGATTATGTTCAATGTGTTTCTGACATCAAGGCGGTTTCCTAAGCTAGAGGACGCTGGTCGTGAATACGATGTCTATGGTACAATTTAAACAGCACAACCACATGGACTGCGTTATGTGTCGACACCAAGATGCAATAAATATCTACAATGTGGCTGTCTAGGACACCGACGGCACTGGAAAGTTACTTCATCGCTACATGCTGGTAGCAATAGCCCCGTAGCAAGGCTTCTCCTTACAAAAACACGACCAACAGAACTCAGCCGCGTTACCGAGAAACATTGGGTAAAGATGCACGCGCTTTTGCGAGGACGTCGGTCTTGCTTCTCTTCAAGCGAACCACCCAGCCACGACCTTCCTTCCTCCGCTTTTCGCAAAACCATTTCAATCAAAAGTCGGAGGTCAGCGAGGAGGACAGCGCTCAGCGGGAGCGCCACCTGAAGAACATGCGCGATCGCATCGTCAGCGCCAAGCGGGCAGGGCGCGAAGAGGAGGCCTCCAAGGCCGCCTCCGACTCAGCCGCAGCCGCGGAACGGGGGGAGCGAGCGGCTCTGCCCCGCACCGGTGGGATTTCTACCTCTTCGTCGCCCGCTTCTGGTGCCGCTGCTCAAGGTGCGCCCTAAAAATCCAAACGATGTATTGGCAACAAATACCCGCGCTTGAACAGGGTTTGGGTAGATCCCGTTAGGTACTCGTGGGGTACTCTACCACCTACGTTTCTGACACAATGGTTGTCCTGAGATCGGGGAGGGCTAGGGGTGGGTTGGAAAGCAGTGGTTTCTTCTGCTCACGTCTGCCCCTGACCAACGCGGAATTGGCTGACATTTCTTCAGGAAAGAAGAACAGTACAGTCTCGAAAGCGGCCGCGAACAACAGTGACCGATGACCTCGCAAAGGGAAAAGCAAACCAACTGTACACAGTATACCATGTTGAGCGTTCACTAAATAGTCACGTGGTACTTAGATTCTCAACAGGAACCAAAGCAACCCTTTTTTTTCTATCGTTCGATACGCACAACCAGATAGAACGCGCTGTGGACGCCAAATAGGCGCGTTCTTCAAGGTCCTTATGTGCCGATTTGCCCCACCCCCCCCCGGGCGCTAGATAACCCGCGCCCCCCCGACTACGCCTTTGTACTCTCCCGTCTCGCACGAGAAGGTTCTGGGCGTCGCGCCGACGGCGGCGGCGACGCGGCGATCATTGTGAACGGGGAGGGAGTAGAGGAGGACTTCGCCGACGAACAGAGGCGCATGATGCGGGTGGCCCTCGCCCGGCACATGAAGCGAGAGCTCCTCGAGAGCGAGCAGGAACGCCTCACCAAGGTATGTATGCGGTGTGCAATATATATATCTATATAAATTTTCATATGTTCTTCTCTCTCGGTGGGCCGGTCAAAAGCAACTTTGCACTCTCACACTACTCTATCTGTGTCGATTTAGGAATCGACCTATCGGACACTTCCAGCATCGCCTTATTTGATTGCTGGGAAAACCTGACAACTATGTATCACCAACCACAAAAGTCAGACCAGCACGATGAGTGGTTCAACGCTAACGTGAGAGAACATCCTTCTGTTACCCTTTGGCTCCACGACTAGTCACATACAACCGTAGACAACTTATACCTTGGTTTGGTTCTGCGCGAGAATCTAGAGACGGTACCCTCACAAGGAACGTGCTATTGATGAAGTCGCAAGGCGACTGGACAACGAAGTATTCGCAATCGATTGTCAGCTTGATGGTTGTCTCGTACTATCTAATCCTTCTGCCTCCCAACAAATGAGATGCCGGTGTGAAGTGTGGCTGGGTCGCAAGAAAGTCCAAAATATCGAAAGTGAGGCCAGGGATAGGCAGGCTCCTGGCATCTTGGGCAGGACACTTGGTCAAGGCAAGACCTAACATTCAGCATAGGGTGCACGACGATGCTCCCCACGCTTTCGTTGCATGCATTCCCTCCCGCCCCCGCTCTGTTTTCCATCGCAGGTCCAGGCGGACCAACTCGCCGACCTCAACGGCAAGCTGCGCCTAGTAGAGAAGCTAAGGAACGAGAACTCGGAGAGGGAGGCGGAGATTGCAGCAGCCCTTCGGCAGCAGCAGCGCCAGCGGTGAGAGCACTCAACATGAATGTCGGTTCTCTACGTGGGTAGCATCCGATGGGTGACGGACGTGGATCGCAGGCTCGACTAACTCATTTCTCCGGCGGCACATCATGATAGAGCTACAATATTCCAACCGGCAGAGTATCAGTTAGCCACAATCTTGCTAAATCAACGGTAGAAACTTGAGTTAGGACACCCGCTCGTTTCCTGTCCAAAACACACACGCCGAGTTCCGCCCTTCGCCGACATGCTGGCGTGTTGTATGCACGGGCGACATGGCATCGTACGGAATGACCCGCCATGGCATGGAACGAACCACAGCGCGCGGAACGTGGCAACGTCGGCGGCTACAGCCCGAGGAGGCGACGAAGAGTTCACGTTCGGTGAAACAAGTTAACTGATTGGACCGAATCCCGTCGGCCGCGGGCTGAAGTCAGCTTGACAGACTGTTGTTGCAGTAGATGGAGCTGAGCAGAATCACGTTGAAAGGGCTTGAGTGGTACAGTAGTATGATAAGATACCCAAATGCGGGTCTGGAACGTTCTTTCTTTGCACGGTATGAAAGGTTATTGATATTCATTCGTGATCGTGCACGAGACCTCCAGATTATTAGGAATGGAAGTTGGTTTGATTGGATATATCGATACAGGTGCGTGCGTGGTCTTCAAACGGGTCAATTTTGTCCACGGACAGCTGGGTTGGATTGGATCTGAACAGCGTTAAAAGCTTCTACGGCTGTAAAGTTTGACAGATGATAAGTTGATCAGTAGATTGATCGGTTGAATCCCATTTCGCCACCCTGCGGCAATTTGTACACAATATTGATAGAGATGAGCGCAAAAACTTGGGATCAAACGAAGTTGTCAAGCAAATTCGATACATATTGTAGTCTACATGATGACTTGCCTGGGCTACTGGCGACGGTGCTTTTGGCTGACAGGGTGCCGGGGGACCCTACACCCATCTCGTGCAATAGAAGTGAGAAGGTCGGCCAGGGTGGCGAGGCCATTGGCACTCGGCAAAGTGTGACCTTGTGCTGGTATGAGTACAAGGGTTCGTTTTATTATTTTTTTGGATGAATGCGATACGAGTGAATTACTGGTAGTCTACATATTTTCTTGCGAAGAACTGCCACAGTATTTTTGCTTATTTTTGTTGAAATGACGGTACGACAACGACTTGTTGGCAAGCAATGCAAGAATCGCGCGAGCCACTCACAACAAACAGCGGTGAATTGCGGAATGCAGCCTAATAAGGATTCTCCCAGTTGTTATCCTAACCTAACGTGTTGCGCAGGCTTACTTAGTGTACGCGGTATCTGTGATGATGAAAAGAGACGCGGCGTACGCGTGTGCATGAGGACGGCTTGAATACTGTTGAATATTGGAAGTATGCCACCCATGGGGAGGTTCCCTGGAGAAACACTGGCTGTTATATTGAGAGACCGTAACATACCGTGTAGTCTTCATGTACACATTTTCGACGACGCCGATGATTGATGTGATGTGACAGACGGCATGGGGCGCACCGACCACTGAATGTCGAACGTTTGTACTTCAGAGCAACACGCGTGTCACAGGTGAAGCTTCAATTTATCATATGGTAGTGAATCCTAGAGTTTGAACACATGCATGGATCCACGGTGCAAGATCCAACGTGACTCACCAACTATTTTACTCGCTCACCCTCACAAGAAAAATGAGATCCTCCGCTAGGAAAACAGACCAAAGGTCTTTCGTCGTTCGTTCGTGTTTCGCCAATTTGTCGTTCCTCTGTGTACGTGATCTTCTGTGGACGAAGGATAAGCGAAACATGCACAAAGAACACAATCAACTGCTGCACGCTGGCTGGGGACTGGGAGACTGCTGAGGGAAGCGGCACCGCGGCATCATCCGAGGACCCGACGTAAACACGGAACCCCCCCAAAAGAGTTTAGCGGTCAATGGTATATGACAATAAAAAAAAATCTTTTTTTTTATTGTCATATACCATTGTTAGCGGTTCTCAGCGAGGCAGCGAGTAGGAAATTTCGCGCGGCGCATCTTGTGCCGGTTCGACGTTCGACATCTGTATTGTTGTCGCCGAAACCCCTTGTGTTGCGTTTACGCCGAGGCCGCGCTATCCGTCGAGCTCATCTCTCACAACTCACAACCACAACACCACATCACCACTTCCCTCCGAGTCTGAACGTGTAATCCAAACCTCAAGTATGGCTTTCTTCGCAGCTGTTCGCGCAAACAAGAACGCTTTGGCGGGTGGCGCATCCGTAGTCGGCGCCGGCGTCGGATTGGTGGGTCCCTCGATTTTTCTCTTCTCTGTATGCGCCAGCATGTACATCGGATGCATGATCCACGCATCTGTCGAGTACTCTTTCGAAGAGCTTATCAGTTCTGAGCCGAAACCGCCTGTCTATCTGCTGCACCCGGCTTTTTTGGGTACATCTTTGTCCACGCGTCCACGCTGGCAGTCTACGTATGTATGACTTTGCATGCGAACTGCACGTGCGTCCTGTACACACGAAACACCCGTTCGACACTCTAACGCCGTATCACAGCTGGGCAGACCCCCTTTCTAGAGAGCACTGTAGTCTAGGTCACCAGGACGCATGTACACACGCGTGTACTTCTACACGCAAGTATCTCCACAAGGCTTGTTTCCTTACAGTCTTCGTCGCTTTCTAGCGACGACCACATAAGGCATGGTAAACTGTCTTGCTGTGATTGTTCGTGTAGTTTCTAATTTCGTTAGCAGCATTTTTCACGCGAAAAGTAACAACACCGGCTAAGCCGCTTGGGGGAATCCTCACGCCAGCAATTCTTGGTGAACCTGAACCCAAACTCGAATTGCTTGAGCCCAAACTCGAATTGATGAACTGCAGGGTCGCGCGAGCTTACCCCGTAATACAACAATAGTCCGGATGATTTGCAGGTTTCGGGAACATCTCGCCATATCAACCTCGCGGAGTGATCGATTGCTTGCTTGCAAGACCAGAATATTTCGTACAAGTTTTTCGTAGTCCTCGTCGGACATGGTGTTTATTCACTTTGTTTGGCAGAATGAAAAATCGATACCGTATATTGCTGCGTACTCGCCTTCACGCGGTACATACATCTAGACTATGTGGGTAAAGTGACAGCACAGCAATAGATGTTCTGCTCCAAATTGACGCCCGTTACAGTACATTTTACGCCACCATTTCGACGTGCACAACTTAACCATAGAGAACTCTCATGTCGCATTTATTCGTACTCTGTGGTGTGGCCGTACCACCCCCCACACACAACGGAAAACAACAGGGTCTGCTGACCGCGCCGACGGTGGATGCCAAAGACAATACCCACGGAATGCTGGAAACGATCCTCAACTCTGTCAAGAACATTGAAGGGGACCTTATGACGAGCTCCAAGAGCAAGGCGGCTGGTGGTGGTTACGTAGACCCCGTTTCCAACTTCCCCACCCTTACGCCCAAGCACAACTCCCTCGCGGCCAGCGTCCTGCTGAACCGGCCGGACCTGTACACCAAGTACTGCAACTCGGTCACCTCGAGCGGGTTCACGTTCGACAACGCTATCCAGGTAGGGTGTGTAGATGTCCTCATGGTCCGCGTCTCTCGTGTTTTTTATCCTTCCGCACTACCGTGCTGTACCTGTTTGCTCCTGGTCCTCAGGTGGACTATACCTGCTGCCTCAGTCGTCCTTCCAAATGATGTACATTTCATTGCGTTAACATGCTCGCTCTTAGATGTACACATCCCTCTTCACGCTGACCCCCTCGTACGATCCTACATGTGCACACACGCGTTCCTGTCCACCTCCATCCACCCCCCCCCTAACCAACACCTCGGCACCGTAATAATGCCGTCCAGGCCGGAATCGACGCGCCGCACCTCGGCGTCGGTGCTGTCGCTGGAGACGAAGAGTCGTACGAGACATTCAAGGACTTCATGGACGTCGTGATTGAAGGATGGCACGGGTACAAGCCCGACGACAAGCACAAGATAGACATCGACGCGAACAACATCAAGCTCACCGCCGAGCAGGCCAAGAAGTTCGACCAGTACGTCATCTCCACCCGCATCCGCGCCGGCCGCTCCATCCGCGGGCTTCCCTTGCCCCCGGGCACGAACCGCGCTCAGCGCCGCAAGGTTAGAAAGTGTGCAGGTTTGAGAAGCGCGGTTTAGAATAATTTGTGGTAAAGAAATGTGCTGGAAGCGAGTCAAGTTTGGCTCGTGCATACCGAGTATGTGACGCTTTTGGTGCTCATTGGGTGAGTGCTGGTCAACCAGGACCCGATTTTCGTTGTCAGCCTTCGCAAATGTGAGTCTCGTCCTCGACTTAAACAGCGCGCTGCGCCTTCACGGGCGACAGCAGTGCCGAAGCTACAGCCTCTTGCACTTTTAGGGCAAAGCGCGACAGATACTCCCTACGAACTGGTGCCTCTTTTTTCTTCAACCTATACTTCCCAACCCAATCATCCTCCAATCAAAAACAGGTGGAGAAGCTCCTACGCAAGGGGCTTACCCGGATGACCGGCGCCATGGCCGGCAAGTACTACCCGCTGGGGGGCATGACCGACGCCGAGGAGCAGGAGCTCATCGACGACCACTTCCTGTTCCAGAAACCCTCCCCGCGCAACGTGCTCGCCAACTGCGGCGCCGCGCGCGACTGGCCCGACGGCCGCGGAATCTTCCACAACGCCAAGAAGGACTTCCTGGTGTGGGTGAACGAGGAGGACCACATGAGGGTGATCTCCATGGAGCAGGGCGGTAACATCAAGAACGTCTTCGCCCGCTGGTCGGCGGCGGTCGGGGAGGTGGAGAAGGCCCTCAAGGCGGAGGGCTTCGAGTACATGTGAGAGAGAGAGAGAGGAAAGAGCCGCTGTTGCTGCCTCGTGTAGAGCCGTTGAAACTGTGTACAAGCATAACCAGGTTTGACTTCCAGAAGTAGTCATGCTCCGTGAAAGAAAGCGGACAACGCGCTGCTGCAAAGTACAACAAGAGAGTTGATTGGCACAAACTTAATTCCTTTCGTATCATGGGCGACTCTTCTACCCACTGAACAATATGGCAATGCTCTGGGCTTCAGCTGGATACTTACACCTGGTGCTTGGAGTGAAAAATTACTCCAAGTTATTTTGCCAGACGCTGCAAAGAGAGCTTCTTCAATCCTCCCTCACATGTACCCCCCCATCCCCCACCCCCGCCGCTCTTCTAAGGATTTCAATACTCTTCCCCACGTCCGTTGTCCACTCCTCTTGTTACAAACAAAAAGGTACAACGAGCACCTGGGCAACGTCTGCACGTGCCCGTCCAACCTCGGCACTGGCCTGCGCGCCTCCGTGATGCTCAAGCTGCCCAAGCTCTACAAGTCCTGGGGCGTGCACAAGCTGGAGGAGTACTGCGACTCCCTCGGCGTGCAGGCCCGCGGGGCCAAGGGAGAGCACTCCCCCCCCGGCCCCAGCGGCGAGTTCGACATCTCCAACAAGGCTCGCATCGGCTACAGCGAGGTGGAGCTGGTCCAGCAGATGATCGACGGCGTTGACCGCCTGATCAAGCTCGAGGAGAGCCTCTAAACAGAGGCTCTATTGCCTAGAGGAGATAAACTCGTCGCCTCTTGCATGGTGTGGGGTGTTTGCTAGACTTGAACGGTGGTTTGAAAGAGCACGGAGTTAATTACTCGCATGTACGGCAAACTATTGTTGTGGCACTCACAAGTGCGTGTGCAATAAGCTAAACGCTGGGTGGGATACAAGTCAGGCGTGAGGCCCAGTGCCTATCCCATCCTCATCTGTTAAATGTTGTGTTTATTATTTAGTTGCACTCGTGAGGACGAGGCAAAGGTAGGGTTCGGCTTCCTTTTTTTTCGCCAACGTCTTGACAGCCGACCGAGTCGCCAACACACGCTCTCGCGTCAAGTGTCACTTTTTCGAAACTCTTTGCACTTGAGTCTTCCGCATCGTCTAGAGTTTGTTCCTCCGCAAGATGCACACGAAACGTTGCAAAAGTGGAACAGGAAGGCGTAGCGTAGATTACAGGCAAGTAGTCGCTCGTGGTGTTGCACCCGGATGAGATCGCAGGGGAGGGCACGGACCATGACACTGAACGCTTGCCGTAATCTACAAAGAGTTCCACATGGTTGTTTTTCCCCTTGAAATAAATGTTTTGTAACCAACAAGGAATTTTTTCTCAGGATGAAAGGTGCTATGAGTACGGCGCAAGGCGACGAACGGAACACACATCCCAACCATATCATCGAAAAGTTATCTCCAAGACAGGGCTACAGTACCAGTGCTAGAACCCGTATTTTGCATGCGACAAAGCTACCCTATAAGTAAGGGAACAGTCGCCCCTTCTGAACACCAACAAACCAAACAATATACCACCGACGATCATTGCGCGCCCTGCTGTAGCAGCAGTTACGCGTGGAACATGCTCAAACTCACTGAGCGAAAACGTGCCGCCCAGCTCTTTGCATTGGTTCCGTGAAGGAGTACCCCCATATATAACCCCATGCCCACCAGATTTTCAAATGATTGCAGCCCAATACGTACGCTCGCTCGTGCACGCAACGTACCACCACCCTTTTGAACCCAAAGATCGGAGCGATGCTGCACCAAAGGCCGAAGAAGATGGTCTGCCTCTTCATTTCACGAAAAACACCGGGCCATAAGCGACGAGACCATTCCTCAATAGCAAACTTCCCCCCGTCAGGCTTGGGGTGCTTGCATACTCACTACCTGGTACTTGAGAATACATATCCGGAAACAGGAAGACATGCCATGCTCTTTTGTGCATATACCGGATACTGGATGCAGGTCACGCGTGCTCGAAGGTCGAAGGCTCACATTGCCTAGGCGACGCAAACGCTCTCACTCTCTTTCTCTGTCACTCTCCAGAGAACCAAACTGCCGACCACAGGAGTTGCAACACCACTCGAAGCCACAGGTGCATAGCAGCTTACAAAACTTCCACGATACCAGTTTTGAAGCCTTCACCAAAAACAGTCGCATGCACCTGCAACTGTACCTGCACTAGAGTTACGACAACGGGTACACACGCGGACAGGCTTCAGCTCCGAAGGAGGAAAACGAACCGGAGGCGTCCGGTGTGGGGCGTTCCAGAAAATACATCCAATTCATCGATTTTCGTCGATAATTCCTCGCCCGGCCGCCTTCGCCGCCTCCTGCCCGAAATCTTCCTCCCAGTCCACCGGGTCCTCCACGTGCCCTTCCTCCCCCTTCTTGCGCTTCGAGCCCAGGGCCGTCCCGCTCGCGACTGTCTCCCAGTGCGTCTCGAGGTCGAGCTCCTGCCGCGCTTCCGCGGTCATGAAGTGCACGATCAAGTTGTCGCAGTCTACGAGCATCCAGTCGTCGCAGTCGATCCCTTCCGCCCCCGTTATCCCCATGGCATTCACCAGCTTGCGCTGCTTTAACTGGGGGGGGGGGAGGGGGTGGGGACGAGGAAGACAAGAACAGGGAGGGGAGGGGGGGGGAGACAAGGCAGGCGCGGGCGGTTCAATGGAGACACATCACGCGCCAAGAATGCGAAGAACACCTTAAGCTTCTTGGGGAGGATTTGTCCAAATCCACAACCATGCTGCAGCAGTTTGTCCGTTTACTACATATAGAGCACTACGGTAGAGTGATCACAGCCATTTGCGAATGCGTTAAACTGCCATGTCAAGGCAGAAACGTCGACAGGTGCTAGTACCCAATGTTAGGTATACTCACAGCAGTATCTGGTCGTGAGGGTCTGGGGGGTGACGTGTTGGGAACCTCGTGTCTTGCGGGGTACCACCGTTGGACCCCTTTTCGTGAAGCGATGGTCACCTCTTTCCCGTACAAACAATATTTGGCATCAGGCTGCAGTTTTACCAGAAGCTTGTGTGGACACCCTAAAACTGAGCGATCAGCTTAGTAGTACCGGCACGATGCAGGCCGGTCACCGCCCCGGCCGCAGCGGTTACAGACTGAAAGAACAAGTCAAGCGGTTGGTGGTACGAGTTGCGCGACCTCGCCGCGCAATCGTTGCACTGCGCGGCCCCAGGAATCTGCGCAGCTTCTGTCGCGCGTCCTGCAATTGTTGGATGAACGCTTCGCGGTGTAACAAGGTTTACGGCCTGCGGAGGAAGCCCGACTCGTTGGTGGCCGCGAAATGACTGCTGGTGGACTTGGGGAGTTACGGGCTGTAGGCCGCATCGAGTGCTTCTGCGTCGACGGCAGTTGCAAGTGGACTCGCGGGTGCTTTTTCGGCGTTTCTGCGACAACAACATCGGCGACGAGTTCACCCCACCTGGCGCTCCGCAGTACAACGGGGTCGTTAAGAGCGTCATTTGGCGGATCATAACGGCCGTCATCGATGGCGGCCGCTCGCCGCAGCGCTGGACATGGTTTCAGCGCCGACTTCGCCTCCATCTCCCCGCCGGCCTCGATGAGCACGGTGACCGTCTGTGGGTGGAATCGGCGAAGCGGGTCGCCAACGCCATCAACCAGTCGGCGACGAAGGCCAACGGGAGGCGTCGCTCAACGCACGAGGTCTTCACGGGGGAGCAAGGGCCGTTCCGGGTGCTGCCGTTCTGGCAGCCCGGCCACACGCGCGAGAAGTCCGGCGCCTAACCTCGACGACCAGGCCACCCTCCGCTAAAACCTCCAACGGCGGAGACAACCACTCGAGCGGCACCGCCAAAAGTTCTCGAGGCATCCACCGGTCGCGTCGTGTACACAAACAACGTGGCGTGGGAAGCGTCGGAGCCAGCCGGCGAGGGAGGTTCTGTAGGTATCCCCGCTACGCCGACCCCTCCCCCCCCCCCCGCGCCCACGCCGCCTTCAATTTAGGTCCAACGCTTTCGCTGTCGCCCCACTTCTGGACAGCCGCTCCCCACCGCAACGCCGCCGACCGCAGCCATGTCCTCGCCCAAAGCTACGCCCTTCCCCCGCGCCGCCTCCCGTCGCATCTTCAACGCCGTTTCCTGCCGCGATCCCGCCGCCTGCGGCGTCGCCCTCGCTCTCGCCGTCGACCTCTACGGGGGCCAGCCGCCTCCTGCAGTGTCGGGCTCGCGTCGCCCGCTCCGGGCCGCCACCGCTCCCGCCGCCGCCGCACCCCGAGATGCCCCCGCTCACGGTACACGCTATGCGGCAGCTTCGCCCGGGTAAGAACGCGGGCGGTATGCAAGACCCGCGGCTGCATGGCCGCACAAGATCGGACGCCAAGCACAGCACAGGCCGAATCTCGACGCCAGACAGGAACAAAGTGGTCTCTATGCTGGAGGCTCGGAGCGCGGTGGATGGGGAACGGAGGGGGGAGCAGCGGAGACCGGAGAGAAGGCGGGAGCTCTTGCGGCAGTGGATCCGGGGGGGTGGGACGAGGAGGCACACCGCAAGCATTTGCAACGCGCTCCTCGCCTACCCGGAAGACATGGACGCCACGCTGCGCGACCAGCGATCGCCGGAGCAATGCCCTGAACTCCCGCGCTGACAGGCGAACCACGATCATGTTCTCAAGAGCAACAACGAGGCCATGGCGTCGGAGTACCGGCACCTCCGGAGCGACTCCATGAGAAGGGGGTCTTACGGGGTTTTGGATGAGGGGGATGTTCACTCCGGCAATATAGCAATCCGTGCAGAAAGCGATTAATGGCACATGAGTTTGGATGGTCCACTTAGGTTAAATCGAGGCTTGTAGCGAAAGGTGGTATGCAGAGAGAAAATGTTGACCTTGGAGAGTTGTTTGCGCCTGCCGTTTTCTGTTTCGTGTTGTTCGTGTGCTTTGTTAGCTGCGTTGGCGTGCGAGTTGAACCTCGACTTGTTTCATTTCCATATTGAGCAAGCTTTACGCGTTCATAAGAGCGTTGTAGGCCAAGGATGTTGTTTCCCCCAGTGTTACTCTGCTCTCCCATTCTCTCTTTTATCTCTCTGTCTGTCTCTGTCTGTCTCTGTTTCTGTCTCTGTCTCTGTCCCTGTCCCTGTCTCTGTCTCTATCTCTGCCTCTCTCTCTCTCTCTTCCTGTCCCCTCGCTTATGCATATGTATTTCCCTCTCCGCTCGTCTTTCTCTCCTCTCATATCTATTCCCTACTTGGAAAAGTACGTTTTTATCTCACCGCCTGGACGACCATGTTCGCAAGGCGCCGCATCTGAAGGGGAGTAGCCGCCGTGCAAAACACCATGAAATCTCCCATGCCCGCGCCCTTCCCCCTGAGGTCGATCGCGCGCACGTCCGTGCCTCCCTGAGCCTCCACCGCCTTCACCACCTCGTCCACCGTGAGGTTCACCCTGGGGGGACAGCAGTGGTGATTTCATGCCGCACGGCCGGAACATTACACATGCGCAAGAACCCAGAGGGTAGAGGGAGGTGATGTTCTGCCGGGAACCAACATATAGCAACTGCAAGCGGGAGAGTGCCTCAGGCAAATGAGTGTGGAACAGGTGCCGCTAATCTAGAGGCCGGTACATCACACCATTCGTCGTGCTTGCCCAGAAAATTACTGGAGTACAGTATGGACACCGAACCCGCATTAGATAGTATCATACCTGGGGATCACGGCGATCTCCGCTCCTCCTCTCCCAGGCCTATTGGGAGAGGGGGTAGACCACGTCCACGTTCGCCCATCCGTTGCAGCAGCAGCAGAAGAGGGCGGCCGCGGTGTGTCCGAAGAGGAGTCACTCAGCCATCGCCGGCACGCCAGCCCCGGGACGGCGCCGACGGTCGAAGGCAGTCTCCTTCGGCAGCTCGTTCCCTGCTGCTGAACGCATTGACGACGAGTCGCAGCACGCACGAGCGGTGCCACCAGCATCATGGCTCGCTTACCGATCGGCCTCGTGCACTTCCACCCTATTGAAGAAAAATGCAGCAGTCACCGGAGTCCCTTGCAGCGCGGCGAAGCGTGGCGTGGTGTAGCAGGCAGCGCAGTCTGCTTTGTGGTGTGCTGTCCATCTGCCATGCACGTACGGAGATTGACAGTCCTGCGAGAGGCACCGCGGAATCAAACAGTAGTCTACCCACTTTGTGCGGGCAGGATGCACATCAGACAGCAGATCAGCAGGCTGGCGATCAGGCGGTTTGCGGTTTGGGTGTGTCGGTACACACCTGATGCTCAGACGTGTCGCCGCCGTGGAGCTTAGCAAGACCAGAGAGAGGGGGGGTGAAGGTGGCGCGTATCACGCGGTTGGTGCAAGGGCCAAGTCGCCTAGCAAGATGGCTGATCGAGACAGACAAGGCAAGCCAGATGCAGCAGTGCTGCTTTTTGCCCCTGAACCCGGAACACGCGGGAAACACATTCAATTCCTCCGCACCCATGTGGATTGTTGGGCGTTTGCTTGCGCAACCACGGGCAGGGAGGCGGACCGCGAATAGCTTCGGTTGGGTGTTTACCATTGCATTGTGCACGGGCATATGTACAGCGGGTGTGGTTTGTATTATGTCGTGGCTTTATACCCGGTCCCGAAAGACGTAACACTAGACTACTTACAGCAGTACATGGTATGTATGTACACTGCTGTAGCTTTGCCCCGAGCGCTTGAAACTCTGTCCCCGCCAGGAAGAAGAGTTGAGAAGAGGGAGCACTCTAGCTGGTTCGTTTCACATTGTCTTTCTTTTTGTTGGTGTCGTTGTAGTACAGCAGTTTAGAGCAAGCAGCAATTGTTCTTGCACGTGTCGTATGCTCTTGTGACGCCTAAATGCTCTTGTGTACTCTCTCGCTGTCAGCGGTTAGGATGGTACTTCCTAGATGGTGTTGCACTGGCTGACAGGTTGTAGCAGTCTACAGCACGCAGTACTTGCATCCATGAGCCTGCCTTATGAAATCTTACCACATAGCTAAGCGTTCCCTCAGGACAGCCTGCGGTACGTGGAGTACAGAGACCACGGCGTTGGCGTAGAGGGAGGAGGGAAAGACGAATGCGGTAAGGATGAAGAACAGCCCGCGGCCCTTCATCAGACAAGGAAAATGATTCTACTGCTGTGCATATGTCGTTGTGATCCCGAATGATCGACTTACCGTGCGAGTGCCACATTGCATCAGACTTTCCCCCTTTGTCCCGCTGGGTGTCTTCCAAGCCCGTGCACTTCTTTCGTTTCAACGGGCAATGTGAAGGGAGACAGCATGGACTATGTAGAGCTCCTTTTGCGTTTTGCTCGCGACAGACCCCAGGAACGGCACGTAGCTGGGTGTTTTTGGTGCCGTCCCGAAACGTCCTCCGCGAGAAAGAAGAGAGACAGAAGCAAGCTTACGACGCCAGGAGGTAGTCGTGGGTGGCTAGAAGGTCAAACATTTTTCATGGTTCTCCTAGGCTCTCTGTTTACTCTCTCATTGTCTCATTGTATTGTCGTTTCCGTTTGACTCTCTCTCCAGCTGTCCGTCTAACCTTGTCCCTGTACCCCCCCCCTCCCCCCCCCCCCCCCATTATCTCCCTGTTTGTCTTGCGTGCGTGCTTGCTTCCCCCAAACAAACCGCCACGCAAAAGCAGGTAGGCGACGAGTAACCTCGGAGGAATTCGAGCCCCTCACTAGCCGCCAGGAGGCCCTCGGGCCCGGGGGCGGGGTGTGCCGAAGGGCAAAGCGCTTTTGCTGCGCCCACTGGGTGGAAGCTTTCCTGGCACTATGGGGCCTGGCTGTGCTTCTTTCCCTCATGGGCATCAGCAGGCGAGAGGCTTGGGCTTAGGCTGTGACGTTACGGGAAAGGAGGTAGAAGTACGGCGGAGCAAGCACCTCCTGGGGGCTGGTGTTGGAGGTCCCACCGCTGTCGAGGAAAAGTCGTCCACATTTGTTTCCTCGTTTGAAAGGCTTGAGACTGCCTCGGCCAGGCTAGGCTAGGCTAGGCTGGCTGCGTTCCTGAATGTACACCAAAACTGAAAAAACACTTCCTGCGAGCAACGTGGTTGCGCTGCAGAGGCGCTTACTTATTGTGCTCAAAATCGTTTTGCTCTTAACTCCGCGCGTTTTCCCTCCCTGTGTTCGCGCCTCTCTTCTGTCGTCGTCGTCGCCGTCTTTGGTGTTGTGCAGTGGGGTGAACACGCCGTCCACCGCGGCCCCGTCGGGCCTAGACCTTGCGGCTCTGCTTCCCACGCTCGATTCGTTTGAGACGGAGCTCTTCACGCTGTACACCACGTGAGAGTGCCACACCCTAGATTTTAGGTTTTTCTCCGACCGCATGTCGACGGCACCGTGCAATATGTACGTGAGAGCTCCATCCGAGACTGCTCTCTCTCTCTCTCTCTCTCTCTCTCTCTCTCTCTCTCTCTCTCTCTCTCTCTCCATTCGTGCTTGAGAGCGAGATTTTGTGTTTGTTTTTTTTTCTCACTCGGTCCAGGACACTTGCGTGCGAATATCTCAGCAAATAGGGTGTCGGGGTAGGGTTTGGTTTTGATTGTTGGGTTTAGGCTCGGAGCCCCCTCCGGCAAGCATCGCGGTGGCTTTGTCGTCGGCGATTTGTTACATAACGCTGTTTTTCCTTTTGGTGTAATGGTCAACCATTGTAATGGTCAACCATCTCTTGTCGAGCTCTCCGCAATGCGCTATACGTTGGTGTTGCCTTCATCCACACGACTTGCGGCCTCTGCCCTGACTTTTTTTCTCTCTTGCGCACCCCCTCTCTTTCTGCTCCTGCGTGCCCGTGTGTGCGTGATTGCTTGCGTGCGGACACACACGGATGATGCTGGCTGGCTGCGACTCGCATTGGCGCGGCACAAAATCGGTTCGGTTCCGACGGCGGTTTCCGGTGTTCTGGGCGCGTGCGGCGGCGGCGGCGGCGGCGGCGGCGGCGGCGGCGCGATGAACATGCGGGGAACGTAATCCACCGCAAATAACAAAACATCGGCAACGAAAACAAAACAAAACATGGCAGCAACCTTACCACCGGACTGCTCCTGATGAGCTTTCCCATCGCCGCGATATCGGGCGGTGACCAGCCCCCCAAGAAGGTGATATTCGGAGCTTCTTACGCCAGGGGCTCGTACGACGACGACAGGTCGGTGACTCTCCTTCACTACCCGGCGGAGAACACGGAGGAGACGGTGTTCGTCTTCCGGCTGACGGAGGACGCGTCGGGGGTCGACGTCCTGAGGGAGGAGCTCACGGTGAGAGAGGCGGAGGGAGGGCGAGGGGGGAGAGAGAGCGGGGGGAGACATAGGCAGTCGGTGCATGTGTGTGAGAGAGAGATAGGCAGAGAGAGACACAAATAGAGAGACTTCGAGAGAAAGTGTCAGAGACAGCAGACAGGCAGAGAAAGAGACAACGACAGAGACAGGTAGCCATGGTTTTTTGGGGGGTTCTCGTTTCGTTTAGGTCGCGTTGCAATGCGTTCGTTCTGTCTACGTGAAGGCTGTTGTTGTTGCCGTTGACGCTGCCTTGCTTTGCTGCGACCGTCGTCGTACTGCCGTGGGCCTTGCATCACCAACAGCGATGCCCACCAATTATTCTTGGTAGTCAAAGCTTTTTGCTTTCCCTCCCTACCCGGCAACAAACGTTATAAAATACGCAGCTTCGCACGAGCGATGCCGGCATGGAGACGTCCCTCTCCGAGAGCGCGCCCGCAGAGTGGATCACAACCCTACCGATCCTTGAGTCCAACGGGGTTTCGGTCATGGCCAGCGCAGAGTGAGTTGCAATTCTACAGCTACAGGTGGGGAAAGGGGGGGGGGGGGGGGGGTATGGTGTGTTTGGCCTGCTTCTCATTGGAGAGGAAGGCAGACACTAGCCTTGGTCAGGCAAGAGTGAACTCCTGTTAGTGGACTTGCCGAGGCTTGGCCTAGCCAACCAACCCCATCTTCCGTGTCTGGCGTCGGCCTGTGGGTTGGGGCGTGGTGGGCTTGCGCGGCTAGCCTGGGTCGTCTGTGCTTGACTGATTGGGGAGCTCAAAAGACGAGCCAGCCCAGCCGGTCTGTTACGTCGTGTTTTTGATTCCCCGTCTGTCGAGCTTGAGTGTGTATTTTTTGTGCAAGCAGCTTCGACCACGAGAGACGGCTGGCCAATGAAAAATGCAAAAGTCTCATGGAAGGTGTGTGTGGATGTGTTTTGCGTTTTCTGCTGCCATGTGCCTAAGCCGGCTGGCTGGCATGATTATCGCCTTTCTTTCTCCTTGGTGCTGACGCGGGTGGGTGTGATTAATCTTTTCAGATTTCGGTTTCGCCCTTAATTTCTTTCAATTTACTTGCCCATGCTTACTTCTTCCTCCGGTGTAAAGGTCGGTTTATTTCTTTGTTCGCATGTGGTTGAAGTTTGTTCCCCCCCACTCTCCCGCCCCGTATCGAGGACGCGTGGTCAATGGTCTACCCGCTAAGGCGTCCAAAACATCAGAATACGCCCCCGCTCACTGGCCCCGGTGGTCTCCCTCCGGCCCTCTGGTTTTTCCCGCTGTGGATCTCTTTCCTCGTGCGTGCACGTGGCAGAAACCTGCTCACGAACGGGTTCTACGTGACTGACATACAGCCGGCCAAACTCGCGGACATGCGGCTTAAGCTCAGCGAGACAAGAGCTTACCAGAAGAACGCCGGTCTCACCGTCGAGTACCAACTCGTCACGGACCCACGTGTGTAACTGCCAAAACAGCATCATAAAATTTGCACGTATGTCTCTTGTCGTTTCGTGGACTAAGCATCAGGGCTACAGTATATGTGTACCTCTGCTGTTCTTTTTCTTCTGCAGGGTGTTGTGCGTGTCTGCTTCCGTTCTGTTGTATTTTTTTTCTTTTTCGTGGGCGTTACATGTATGAGGTCGCCGTGAAGGGGATGAGTTGTCCTGATATTTTGATTTTTAGTTTGCGTGGCCTTCGGGGGAAGTGCCATACTTCATCGTGCCAACCAACGCGAAGCAGTGTTGTTCCGCTTGTCTCTGTGGCCGAACCCCGGCATCCCTGCCTTTCCCGCGGCCCTCCTTCCCCCACTGCCAGAGAAATGTGTTCGTTCTTTTTTTGTCTGCAGCTAATCCGGATCGACACCGGGGGAGAACAAACACCCGAGCGTCCGACACGACAATGACCAGAGTATAGCCAACCCCCCCTGGGCCGGCGAAAATCCGGCATATCGCTCCGTCCCGGCATCGTAGGGATGCGAGGTCAAGGGTCTGACGACTAAGACATACAAAAACATGAGTACGCCCCCCCCCCCCCCCCCCCCCCTTTCCCCCCCCCCTCCATCCAAAAACCCAAATTCGAAAACCCCCAAAACTGGTGGCCCTCCACCTCCCCTTTTCCCTCTCCCTGGCGCCCTCCCAACCCCTGGAACCCCCCTTGGGGGAACAACCCCTGGGGGAATTTCACCCCGGGTTTCACCATTTCCGGGAACCCCCCCCCACCCCGGAGGGGCCGAAAACCCATCCCCTCCACCCCCAAGGGAAGGGGGCCAACCCGCCGAAAACCTCCCGGGGTTTCCCATGGCCCTAGGAAGGGGGCCGGGGAAAAAAGAAGGGGGGGAAAATTCTCCCGGTGTGTGCTTTGCCTTAAAAACCCCCCCTCCCAATGGGGGTTTCGGAAATTTAAACCCTTTTTTTTTTTGGCCAAACCGGGGGGCGCCCCTCC